TAAAAGTGCTTCCGTCAGACCTGGAGATCAGCTTAATGGATAAAAAAATTGTAAAACTCAAAGGTTGTGGCCTTTTAAAATAAGACTGTTTCTCCAAAAAAAAAATGGAGTGTCATTTTTAAAGTGTTTATTTCACTTGCAGGCAGGAAAATGCAGTGAGTGTATGAGGCTTTTTGACCGTTTTCCTCATTGTTTCGTGGTTTCTTGTTTGGTTTGATTTGGTTGATCCTAGGAAATGACTCGTGGTGTGTGAGAGTCTGTTTGTGTGTGACGGTTTCTGCCAGTATTGTTGTTGTTGTCGTAGGTTAGTCTTAGCCTCCCATTTCTGTTTCCAGCATTCATTTCCTGCTTTATGAGCCACTTCCTGCACGCCACAGGACACTTCCTGTCCGGAGTTCCCACAGGCAGGTCCATGTGAAAGTGAAGGGGGAAACACTGTAGCCTGTCTCAGATGTGGATGTGACTTGGGTCAAAACAAAGTAACAAAATGTAAAAAGAAATGGATTAAATTGAACTCTGACGTATAATATGCTCAAACTATTAAAGCAGTGTAATTTTTGTGCTATTTATGTACTTAGTACTTTATTAATTAAATTAATTTATAGTTCCATTATGTGCTTTTTTATTTATATGAATTATGGTTACACTTTATTTTAAGGTTTTCTTGTTATAGGTTAACTATTTAGTTACATCCTATGTAATATTAATTAATTATTTGTACTTATATGGTGAGGGTTAGGGCTAGGGTTTGGCCTCAGGTTAGTTGCATGTAATTTTGCAAAATTAATTGTTAATACTACAGTGGTACGTGCCAAACAAGAACTTCTTAAAATAAAGTAAAAAAAGATAAAATAAAGTATTTGTCATATATTTTTATTCCATTATATCTTTACTCTGCATTCAAAAACGCAAACTCTTAGGTTTGTTTTAAACAAGACCTCTTTAGTATCTCATTTATTCTTTCTCAGCAGACTTTTAATAATGTTATGCTTAGATTACTCTCATCATTATGCTATATAAATTTCAAATTTGCATCTGACTGATTTCTTCGGTGGCCGAGAGAGTTTAACGCACTGCAGTTTAGTGTTGCAAATTCATACAGAACAAACAACTGAAGAAAGGCACAGCAAATTGGTCGCAACACAAACAACTAAAGAAACGCGCTGCAATTAGTCACGACACTTGCAAATATCCACGTAACACAACGGAAATGATTCAAGGCGACCCAAAACCATGACAGACCCTGCTGAGATATGGGGGCCATTTTTCTACTGCGGGCAACTTCAAAATTACCATAACATAGCCTTATCAGTTTAAACAATGTGTCTAGTTTTAAGATCTGTAAGAGGACAAACTTAGATAAGAAGAGAAACATTTTTTCTATCGTAAAATGAACAAATTCCACCACATCTCAATACACAACTTTTATTTTAAAATGAAATAAATGATGGCAGTCAAACATTGTCTATGATCATTTTGTTTCTAGTTTAACCAATCTTTTCACAATATATATAATAATTATACATTTGTCAATAAAATAAATTGAATGCTGAATTGTACACCATTATATTAATTTGGTTAAGAGCTTTTCAGAAAATAAATGAACTGTGTTTGTACATTAAACAGAGCATGAACGTATACATTGTGAATACACTTTTAACAATGTGTGATGAGAACTTTTAAAATATTTTTTTTATTTAAATGTGTGTGGTGATGGAAATGACATTTCAACAGTTTATTGTTAAAAAATGAAAGATAGCTTCAGCGATTAGCTTTGAATTGATACAAGTCTTTCATGTATACAAAACACTCTTATTTACCTTCATTTTGTTTGGTTTTTGAAAACACTTTTGAAGGTACAACATGTTTGGAAATGACGTAGAATAAATGTATTTCCTTATCAAGCAATATTTACCTTGATTTTTCTTCAGGTGTTGTTGATTAAAATTTAATTCCCTCCATCTTGAAGATGTTCTTAGACGGCACTATTCATTTTTATAGAAAACACCTAAATAATCTTTCACACAAACTTTTTAAAGCAACATTACAGTGTTGTTTTGGAAATGACACTGATACTGTGCAACAGCTATATTTTGTATGAAAAATAATATTGATAATGGTCTCGCATTAAAAACTATAAAATATTTAAATTATTTCACTAATGTTTCATTAAGATACATTAATAGATACCGGAAAAATAATATTTTAAAATGTTATTTTTTTATTGTTGAAGTTTAAAACTCTGGCTGTGCAACAAGGTGAAAACAGTGATTTTGAAACCTGAAAGGAGGTTGAATAATATAAAAAAATATATATAATAGAAAGGTAGTAAATTTTTTAAAGTAAAGTAGGTTTTATAGTTTGACAAAGAAATAGGAATTTAAACAAAATTATATATATTTTTGAATATATGATCAAAGGACATAAAAGTGCCCGTAATTGAAGAATTACCCATGGATGTGTTATGTCGTGTAATCAGGATATTAAAATAAATGAAAAACAACTTGCCTTTTAAAGACCAATCACTTCACTTAGCAACAGTCACGGAGTCATGACCACAGGCAACATAATAGCACATCGATATCTCAGCAGGGTCCGACTCCCTCATGTTTTTGGATTTATGCAAAAAAAGATGTTTTCTTACTTATAGAATTTTTGTCTTGTTTCTGGTCCAAATATCTACATTTCATAAACAATTTTTTTTTTTTTACTTTGCCCCGCTGATAGTTTTGTTTGTTTTAAAGAAAAACTTGAAAAGAAAAAGTTGAAAACAAACAATATTTGTATTTGAGCTAAGATTTTTAGACATTTGGATTAGAAATAAGACAAAGCAACGTAAAAAAAGAGCATTTGTTGCATTTGTGATTATTCAATTTCTGTACCTGAATACTGTTATACTCTATAGAAAATCTTCAATAGTCCTATTCAAATGATCTTTTTTTGCCATAATATATTTTTATTTTAATTTTCAGTTTGTACACATTGAAATACACTTTACATGCATTTTTTTTACAATAACCTTGCTATATTTACAAATTATACAAAATAAAAGGATATATATATATATATATATATATATATATATATATATATATATATATTTTTTTTTTTTTTTTTTTTTTTAATGGATTGGCTAATCGGGAGGATTGGAAGAATTCCAGGTGGGCCAGTCCGTTTCGCTGTCCCTAGCTGCTTGCACTCACAGCAGTTGCACTTTTATTTATTTATTTGTTTGTTTGTTTGTTTGTTTGTTTGTTTGTTTGACCAAAGCCTCACTCTTTTTATTCATTATTTTACTGCAGCTCCGTGAGCAAAATGCAGCCTGTAGGTTAAAAAGAGAAGAAAAAGATTAAGCCATCAATAGAAAGTAATACTCTGGTTAAAAGAGTCTTGCAAATAACAATGTTTTTAAACACCTGTTTTATTCTTTATTCCAAAAGCAATGTCAGAACAGCGCCATTGTGGTCCAGTGGTCAGCCTGTTGCATTACTACGCTGCCGACCTGAGTTCAAACCTCACCTGAGTAGTTTTTATTTTATTTTATTTTATTTTATTTTATTTTATTTTATTTTATTTTATTTTATTTTATTTTATTTTATTTTATTTTAATTAATCAATAAATAAATAAATTAATTAATTAATCAATTAATCAATTTATTTATTTATTTATTTATTTTTTTTTCATTGTAGTATTAAGACATAATAATGTTTGGGTTACTTATATAGGTGTGCATATTTTATTTTTGCGTGACCACCGTTACAAAGGACTGGATGTTTATAAAGAATTTTGCACAGAATATATTCATATATTGCAGGAAAGGACAGTGTGATGTTTTAAAGAACAGTGTTGGATATTTAGCTACCCTTTAATGTTCTCTAATTTATGAAAAACATTTAAAGTTCTAAAGCAGCTGTTTCCTTGAAAAAGACATGATAGTGTCATTAGAAAATAAATTGGAAATTACGTTATTTTACTATAGTCAGTCGTGAACTGAGGTGGGCCTAAAACTCCTGGGCTGAAAAGGAGTCCCACTCCAGCTCTATGGTAATCTATTCAAAAGTGATCATTATTATCATACTGAATACAGTGTACAGTAAATGTATAGATTGAAGAGTGGATCAATACAGAACTGTAAGACTGGAACTACATTGTCCGCATAGAAATTGTTCATCAAATTCTTCCTCCCTTAATTTCACACCTTTAATTTATCTGTTAAAAGGACTCCATATGTTTTTAAATACATGCTGTTTAGCTTTTAGTACTGTGCAATTTATTTTTTCTAATATTTTTTTCAGGCTTGACAACATTTGTCTTATCCATTGAGTAGTGTTTGGTCTTTGTCCATAGCAAAGCTACACATTTTTTGGCATAAAGCAAGCTGAGGTCTCTAAATACTTGTTCGCTTTTACTACAGTTTGAGGTTTCTGGTTTAAGCCCAGCAAAAAAAGCTTTGGGTCGAGGAGGATTTGTTTTGAAATGATCTTTGTATGACTCTTATCTCTTCCCAAAATAATTAAATCTTTGTCGTTTGTACACATTTTGTGGAAAAATGTTTTTATTATATTTATTTAATTGTACTGGTGTTACATATATCTGCATTATCTATTTATATTGTATAAGTTTAGGATGTGAATTTATAGGCATAGTATGGGCCTTAGTACAGGCTTCTTCCCAGTCCTCATCTGAAACTTCAGACTGTAAATCTTCCTTCCATGCATTTAACCTACAATATGAATTTTCAGACGAGTTCATTGTCAGCACACCATAAAAACTCTGATATGATGTCTTTTCTCATATTATCTATTATCAGTATGTTTTCTAAAGATGAATATGGGGGTCTATTAAGATCGTTATCTTGATTTTATTCAAATAATCTTATCACAATACCCCATATTTATTGCAGAAAAATTCAATATCGTAATATCAGATTGTTCCAATATCGTGCAGCCCTAGTGTGGATCCCTGCATTTTTTACAGTGTGTTTTTTTTTATGTTTCAGGTCATAAAGTGTGTTCTGCAGCGGTGGCTCCTCCTTCAGGTCAATCGCGGTACTGCCCAAACCTCTGCAGGACATATGACTGTTACCAAAAGGTGAGAAGGTAAGTTGTGTGTAAGCATGCTTTGTCTGATCTTAACAGACTCCAGCTGAGCCTGCTGACGAACACATTAATCACGGTGGTGTTTTGTTTGTCCTCTTCTCTCTCTGAAGGTAAACTTACAATCAGGAGGCAGTGAGGAGACGCAAACAACTAATGACATGGAGGTCAAAAGTCACCTGATAACAAGCCCTGGTGAGCCCCTCTTTGTGCCTGTGTGTGTTTCTTTGCTGATAACAACTTGTCTTTCTATATAAGAGGCTTGGTTTGTCAGTTGTTGGTCTGGTGTGGGTTTGGTTTTTGTCTAAAGCAGATGTACTCACAAAGGTCCCGCTTACACTAATGCGTTTTTGTTTTAAATCGCATAAGTTTTGCTACGGTTACGCCATCCGTCCACACTACATCTGAGTTTTCGAGTGCAGAAAACGGAGCATTTTGGAAACGCTGGAAAGGCCGTTTTTATTCCAAGACACTGCTGCTCTGTGCCAGTGTGAATGGGGGAAGACGGAGACATCTGAAAATGGAGGCGGGGCTGCAGACATTTGCCTGATTGGGGCTTTTCCTCAATATTAAGTAGCCTACACACAGTTCAGTTCTGCATCCTCTCCTTGTAAGTTCAGACTTCGCAAGTTTAATATGGAAAACAGACTCCCGAGGACATGTCGGTAAAGGGAACAGTGTACTTCATAACCTTATTCACATGATCCTGGATAAGTATGTAGTTTCACTTTCTTAACAATACAATGAAAACATGATATAAGGAACTGCTATTTTCATTTTGATATTAACAACTTATTTAAATACATTTCAGTCGTACAGTACTTTCTCCTCGTGTCATTCCACTGTTATTACGCATAACAAAATTTTCTGCCATTTTGTGTTTTGTTTTATTTGTTTGTTTGTGTTTTTTTTTACCAAAATCTGGGCCAATTTCATATCAGCATCTCATTTTTCTAACAAAAATCTGTTATTTTAATTTGCAATATTTCACAATGGGCGTCATGGTGGCGCAGTGGGTAGCACAATTGCCTCACAGCAAGAAAGTCGCTGGTTCAAGCCTCGGCTGGGTCAGTTGACATTCCTGTGTGAAGTTTGCATGTTCTCCCCGTGTTCACGTGTTCAACCTCCATCGCCTGTTAACCATCAGGGCCTCCCAATCATCCCCATCCACTGAATTGGCTTCATCACTATCTCTCCACTCCACCTATAGCTGGTGTGTAGTGAACGCACTGTCGCCGTTGTCCTGTGGCTGCCGGCGCATCATCCACGTGGATGGACACACTAGTGGTGGTGTGAAGAGACCACCCTCATGATTGTGAAGAGCTTCGGGTGCATGGCCATACACAATAAATGCGCTATATAGATACACATTACATTACATTTAAATAGGCATGGGCAGGTATAAGATTCTGAAGGGATTATAACCTTGGATAAAAATATCAAGGTTTCACGGTATGACAGTATTAAGATTACTGCTCTAAAACATGTTTTTTTTTGTTTTGTTTTTAATGTCTGGGTAAAAACAAACTACAACTTTTTTTCCTCCCCATTAAACACAATATATTTGATTTTTAGAAACATTTTAAATATTTTTGAGCAGTAAACGTGTCAGGCTAAATACACAGATTTATTTACATTTTGAAAAGGCATCTTTCTTTTCTGTGGATATAGAGTAAAGCCACTGCACGGTTCAGGTCTATAGCGTGCTGGATGTTGGTGCGCAAGTGATTTGCTTTTCAAATGTTTGCTGAATTGTGGTCTGACCAATAGCTTAATACAGGGGTCACCAATCCTGGTCCTGGAGGGCCGGTTTCCTTGCAGGATTTAGCTCCAACTTGCCTCAACACACCTGTCTGGATGTTTCAAGTATTCCAAGTAAGACCTTGATTAGCTTGTTCAGGTGTGTTTGATTAGGGTTGGAGCTAAAATCTGCAGGACACCGGCCCTCCAGGAACAAGTTTGGTGACCACTGGCTTAATATGATGGGTCTTTTTCTGCTAGAGATACAGTTGCCCTAAAAAACTAAGTAAAATAGTAATTTAAAAATACTTACATATACCTTAGGAATGGTATAACAGAAAATCTAAGTGGTTGACTTTTCCAAACCATGGTAAACCTTGAAACCGGTTATTGTTTCTTTTCTTAGTACAAAACTATTAAAAGATGTTAATGTGAAATCTAACCATAATATAATGTGTGTTTGTGTTTGTGTAGATGTACTGGCCGTTGTGGACAGTAAGCAGCGAGCGGAGCGGATGGTGGAGCTGCAGGAGCGCAGGAGGAGCCTTCAGTCGCTGCTCAACACTCGACTAGCAGAACTCAAACGCCTGTGTCTGCAGGAGGCGGTCAGTAGCTCAAAACACACTTCTGTTACCAGACAACACGATGCACAACACACATTCCAATCCCAGTTTAAAGAAGAAGAATGGGATTTTAAACGGATTTTTCACCCAAAAATGTAATTTACGAAGTGCTTCTTACAATAGGCCTGTGCAAAAAATGTTTCTGGCTTTAATATGGTGTTCTGTGGAGTAAAACTGCAGATTGTTGTGTGTGTGTGTGCATAAATACACCTACTGTAAACAAAAGACTGTGATTTCACCGGTAAAAAACTGTAAAAATGCTACAGTAAAAATCCGTAACCTGGTTAACGGTATGTTTCCTTAATATATACGGCGAATAACCGTAAATTGACTTTCCCAGAATTCCCTGCATGGCACATCACTTTTTATGCTTTTCGTTGACATTACTATGGATCTTTTTAGTTGTTTCCCCATCAGCTATGTACATTAGAGATTTATGTTACATCTAATGTTAATAAACAATGTTTATTTCATGACTTTATTTTATGAGTGTTACCATACTGGTGTTTAGTAGCTGTGAGAATGACACTGAGCACCTTCTACATACTGATATATTTTTCTGCTTGTGGGAAAAGTTGTTTGTGATGAGCATTGGTTCATTATGTAACTTGCTCATCACCTCCAGCAAATTGCTGTTAACGTGTCTAACTGTGTAACAAAATATGTGTAGATGTTGCTAATTTAAAATACGGATATATTACATCTATAAATTAATAAAATACGGTAGTTTACTGTAAAAATGGTAAATTACTTTTACGGTTTGTACCGTATTTTTAAATGTAAAGTACTGGCAACTCAAAATTAATTGTTTCTTCGATGCACCGCGATGCAGACGCGGACAATTCGGTATCGATTCAGTAATAACCATAACCGGTTATTATGTCGTCACGTCATTTATCTCCTATGCGCTCTGTCGCGAGGGAGGTGAGCGCCGTTATTTACAACACTCAGCCAACTCAGGGCCGGCCCGTGGCATAGGCACCATAGGCAAAGGCTTAAGGCGCTGTATATCCAGTGGGGCGCCAGAAATGAGCGCGCTTCAGTTGGTTTTGTTTTCGATTTTCCTGACACACTTTCAGTTATAGACGGCAATAACTCAAAAAACGCTTACCCTAAAAAGATCTAAAGTGCGTTTCCTACAGAAAGACAAAGCTGGTTATGTTTCACAGCTGTCTTTCTTTTTTTCGCTCGACATTATGAGCACTGCTCCGTTTAAGCCCTCGCAGTCTGCGTTTACTTTAGCCGGCAGAGCTCGTGCTGAGAGGAGCTCTCTGTAAGGGACCGTCGGAAAAGTGCTTATTTTTTTAGGTTTTTTTTTTCGTTTTTCTGCTCCGCTCAGCACGAGCTCTCTCTGTTGCAGGGGCTTAAGTGTGTTTGTTTGCGTGTGTGTTGTTTGTTTGTTTGATGCTGTCTATGTTTGTGTATATGTTTGAATGAGAGACAGTGTGTTGCTGTGTGTCTGTGTGTTTATACAGACAGCTTGTTATAGCCTCCCCCCTAAAATATAACACTATATATGGAAAGCATCGTCAATGCACCGGGATGCACCGAGATATCGAATTGAACCGAATCGATGGCATGATAATCGTAACCGAACCGAACCGTGAGACCAGTATAGGTTCACACCTCTACTGGCAACCACAGCTGTCGTTTTTTTACCGTAAATTTTACGGATTTATTTTTTACAGTGTATGTTTATGTACTGAGAGCTGAGCTGCTTATTTTGATTTTCTCAGATATAAGTGTGCAACTGCCTCTCTTGTGCTTTCTTTTTCACATACACATACTATAGTCCATATATAACCCACAAACTAAGCTTTTTTTTGCACTGCAACTGTTGATCAACAGTAAACATTGCACCTCTTTCCAACAGGAAAAATTACCAAAACAGAAAAATGCTGAATTATATGGTGTCATGGCTTTGCAATCAAAAAATGTGATTATAATGGATGTCAATAGGGCAAAAGCAGCCCCAAACATAACAAGAGCGTGGTATATTTGCCCAGAGTGTATTGTTTGTGGCCAAATTAAGACTCAAAACCACCCTAGAGTGGATGAAAAAAATCCCCAACAGCACACAAGGGTTAATGTATTTGTCTGTTTAAACACACACCTACTTAAACTGTCCACTTTAACTCTTGTACAGATCACATGTACAGAAGCTGTTCGGAAAACAGTGTCTCTTTATCATTATGGAGCGCGTCCACAAGACGTTTCGAAGATGGCTTAAAGTGCAAAGACACACAGCCACAGTTGAAAGGAAGGGAATCCTGCTGTTTTTATGTTCATTTCAAAGTGCTTTCAAGTCAAAAATAAAGGGAAAGCATTGTATAATAAGTATGCTAGATGCTATTTATCTGGCAATAAGAGTGTTTTCTAACAACATGATAAACTCTGCATCTCTCTCTGGTGTCACTGGCAAACCACACAGTACTGAGCTGCCAGATCATGTGACGCCGCTGAGATGCCGCCACATGCCCAGCTAAGCTCTGCTCAAACTTGTATCTCAACAAGCTTACCATTTTAAAGTCTTCTTTTACACTGTTTGAGTGTAAACCTTGATTGTTTTATTTGTCTCATAGGAGTCATGTATTTAAACAGTCTCTCCAGGATCTAGCAGAGACATATTTTTAAATTTGCAGCCTAAGTTGACTGCTTTTGTGATGACTTTTCTCCAATACAGTTTCAAATATTTCTCAAGTGATATTTAACGGAGCAAGGACAGTTTTACAATATTCCTTATAATATTTTTTTCTTTTGGAGAAAAGTCTTATTTGTTTTATTTTGGCTTGATTAATACCAGTTTTTACTTTTATTTTAAGGTCAATATTATAAGCCCCTTAGGCAATTTATTTTTCATTTAACTACTAAACAAACCACTGTTATACAATTACTTCCCTAACTACTCTAACTTGCCTGGTTAATATTATATAAAAGAGTTCAAATTTAACAGGAGGGCTAATAATTCTGACTTTTAACTGTATATGTCATTTTTTGTTGTGTTTTTGCTGTGAAAACACAATTTTTTCACAATTTTCCAAAACCAATTGGATTTATAAAGTCCTGGAAGGACTGACTTAAAGCGTTAAAATCACTAAAGTCTCTGAAAACTTATCTGAAATTGTAGGTTACATTGTCATGATCATGATTATAATTTATTTTAATAAACAGTACAGTTTGTGGACATTAGCTACAGTTACATTTGTAGTATCCAAAAGCAGTGAGTTCAATATTAGACAATGAGTTCACTGTACTTTAATGGCCTCCACAGTCACCAGATCTCAATCCAATAGAGCAGTGGTCCTCAACCTTTTTATCACTGCAGACTAGTCAATGCTTGACAATTTTACAGCGAGTTTATGGAGAAAATTACAAAGCACTGCAGTGTTTGGGTGTTTTGTGTTTGTCTGAGATAATTAATCTACGGAAATGTGTATATTCTATGCAAGCTGAAGCTGATCGGTAAATTCTTGTCTCGTGACTCACAGGTTGCAGATCCATTTCTTTTCCGTTCGTGCGTCCTTCACTGAGCCATTTCCCCTTAGCAAAAAAACTTTCCAAAGGCGTCTGTTTCTTAATAATGTTTCTTTTTAAAATAAAAGATCGTTTAAACTCAGATAATAAATAAAACGGCCCAGTGGTTGAGGACCACTGCAATAAAGCACCTTTGGCATGTGGTGGAACAGGAGATTCGCATCATGAATGTGCAGCCGACAAATCGAGATGCTGCTCGCTGCAGAGCCACTTGGACTCCAATAAGGGGGAGCTTGAGCTCCAGCTCTATTCTCCTATAAGCTGTTTCAATGCGGCATTCACCCCACCCCACCCAGTGACATCACTTGTAGAAGAAGTGCAAGCAAGGAGGAGCTGGAGTTTAAGCTTCCCCCTGCTAGAGCTTGATTCTGCCCAATTGGCTCTTGGACAAATCTGTTGCAACTGTGTGATGTTATCATGTCAATATGGACCAAAAACTCTGAGGAATATTTCCAGTACCTTGTTGAATCTATGTCACGAAGGATTAAGGCAGTTTTGAAGGCAAAAGTGGGTCCAACCTGGTACTAGTAAGGTGTATATATGTATATGTATATATGTATATATACAGTTGAAGTCAGAATTATTAGCCCCCCTGAATAATTAGCGTCCCTTTTTATTTTTTCCCCAATTTCTGTTTAATGGAGGGAAGATTATTTCAGCACATTTCAAAGCATAATAATTTTAATAACTCATTTCTAATAACTGATTTATTTTATCTTTGCCATGACGACAGTAAATAATATTTGACTAGATATTTTTCAAGAAACTTCTATACAGCTTAAAGTGACATTTAAAGGCGTAACTAGATTAATAAGGTGAACTAGGCAGGTTAGGGCAATTAGGCAAGTTATTGTATAACGATGGTTTGTTCTGTAGACTATCGGAAAAAAAATTTGCTTAAAGGGGCTAATAATTTTGTCCCAAAAATAGTTTTTTAAAAATTCAAAACTGCTTTTATTCTAGCCAAAATAAAACAAATAAGACTTTTTCTAGAAGAAAAAATATTATCAGCCATACTGTGAAAATTTTCTTGCTCTGTCAAACATCATTTGGGAAATATTTAAAAAAGAAAAACAAAAACAAAAAGGGGCTAATAATTCTGACTTCAACTGTATGTGTGTGTGTGTGTGTGTGTATGTATATGTGTATATATATATATATATATATATATATATATATATATATATATATATATATATATATATTGTTTTTGTAAAATGAAGGTTATTGGAGAATTGTGTTGTACTTCATGCAAAATATCACAATAAAAATAATTACATTTACATAAACGCACATATATACTGTGTGTGTGTGTGTGTGTGTGTGTGTGTATATATAGTTAAAGTGAAAATTATTAGTCCCCCCTGTTTATTTTTTCCCCCTAATTTCTATTTAACGGAGAGAAGATTTTTGTTCAACACATTTCTAAACATAATAGTTTTAATAACTCATCTCTAATAGCTGATTTATTTCATCTTTGCCATGAAAACAGTAAATTATATTTTACTAGATATTATTTCAAGACACTTAAATTACATTTAAAGGCTTAACTAGATTATTAGGTTAACTAGGCAGGTTAGGGTAATTAGGCAAGTCATTGTATAACGACTATTGAAGAAAAAATTTGCTTAAAGGGGCTAATAAAAAAATTAAAACTGCTTTTTTTCTTGCCGAAACAAAAACAAATAATACAGACATATATATGAGCAATATCACACGAGTAGCAGTGCGATATGGCTGTATATCGACACTGGTGGGAGGCGTGCGTTGGCACAAGGCCGCAGGCAAAAGTGGGTCCAACCCGGTACACAAAGGGTAAAGAGGCTGTACGGGTGCTGATATTACTTAAATATGTCACAGCTATCAGCCAATCAGATTCGAGAACCAGACAGAACTGTTATATAAATATATATATTTATAGATGTATTTATGTATGTATATGTGTGTGTGTGTGTGTGTGTGTGTGTGTGTGTGTGTGTGTGTGTGTGTGTGTGTGTGTGTGTGTATGAGAATAAATGTAAATATTTTTTTTTATTCTGGTGTTTTGCTTGAAATAGAAATCAATTCTCCAATAATCATTTTACATAAAAGAGCAAATTTATTACAAAAATATATGTAATATATGTACAAAAGTGACAAAAGTGAAGGGTACCAACAATTTTGTCCAGGCCTGTATTTTATGAACTTTTCACAGTCTATTTGTTAATTTGTGCATTTAATTGTAATTTTTCCCAGGAGTTGACAGGTGAAGTTCCTCATGAATATCCTCTGGAAAGCGGAGAGAAAGCTCCTCATGTGAGACGCAGGGCTGGTCTTTCCCGCAGCAGCTCCAAACATAACACGAAAAATGAGGTGTGCAGACTTGTTTGAAGAATAAGAGTGGACACTGATTTAATATTGCTATGTGATGGATAAATATCATGAATTGCTCGATGTTTGTGTTCAGGAAGAGGACGGCTCTCAGCGCAAGACAAAGAAAACCCTGTTCAGCGGCGCCCTCCGCAGGCACACCGATGCAGAACAGCATCCACAGCACAGCAAACGCACGGTTCATAGAGGATGCCACACAGGTAAGCTTGTAGATTACACACATCATAATAATACACAACATTTGTGCATGTTTCAACCATTATTTTCAAGTGTTACCAACAAATTATTTGTGATTTATTTGATCAAGTCTCTTACATATTATTATTATTATTATTATTATTATTATTATTATTATTATTATTAGAGTAAAGCCTCAGAAAATAAATAAGTTATATATTAAAAAAGCAACACATGTTAAAATCTTTAATATTTCTACAAATGTAAATATATAGAGATAAAACAAGTATTTACATAATTTTAATTATATAAATAGAATAAATATAAATATAAATAAATATTTACATAATTATATAGACATATAAAAATATTTTACAAAAAAATTGAAATTTATATATATATATATATATATATATATATATATATATATATATATATATATATATATATATATATATATATATATATATATATATTACCTATTTTCTTTTTCTTTTTGGGAATGTCATATTTTTTTGAGTTTGGTTGGAATAAAATCTCTCTTTTAAATTCATATTTTTAAAATAGTAAGCTATTATTATATTTGTGCATAAACATTAGATTAGTCAGTACTGAAGCCAAATCTGGAGATAATCTAACAAAATAACTTACCATAACGCTCCGAAAATTAGTAAACCCAAATTTATGTTACAGAAACATATTAAATACAAATTTAAAAAAATAGGAAAAATTAAGAGAAGCAAATAATTGAAAAGTTTAGTTGAAAAATTTTAGGGTGTTTTTTTGCAATATTTTGCTTAAATTTAATTGTATTACCTACAATTGACTAAAATATTATTTTAATAAATATATATGTTTAATAAATCAGTTTTGTTTAAATGCACAAAAATACAGGACATATATTAAATGAGAAATGGATAAAAATATTCATTTTCAAAATGGGGTGTACTCAGTTATGCTGAGCACTATATATTTTCGATTGGCTACAGAACAAACCAGTTGTCCAATGACTTAACTGCATAGGTCATGGGTTCTCAATCTTTTTCACTTCGGGGCCCACTTCTTTTTCCGATCAAAGGCCCACCTGTCATTTTTTCTAATATTTTTGTATGAAATGCTTGTTTAAACCAATATTTATTAACAAATAAATAATTAAATAAGTTTTATATATATATATATATATATATATATATATATATATATATATATATATATATATATATATATATATATATATATATATATACAGATTCAAAGGGAACCACAGGTCAACAGAGAGATTGCAAAAGACGCTTCTGCTTTAAACTGGACTGACTGAATATTTACTATTAAATATCTACTCTTCAAAAATATACAAACAAATGTAAAATACAGTAAAACACCCTAAATCTGTTGAAATGTGTCGATCTGATGGTGGTTGGATTTGCAGCTGAATATTATTGAGAGATGGCTGACAGGAAGAGTGAACAGCTCCGCCAGAGCACGTCTGAAGCTCATATGCAAGTTTATTTTACTTTCTATGGCAGAAACACCATTGAGCCTTGCTAGATCCTGCTGTATGGACGCGTGTCCGTTATAAAACTATGGGGGTATATTAAATAGTTCACACAAAAATACACAAAGAGAGACTTTTACATAACGCATAGTTTGCGAATGAACAGACTTGTGTATTAGTTGCAGACGCAATCATGAGGCTGTGTTTGTGCCAAGTTTGAAGTAATCAATCAGAGAACAGGAGAAAGTGCGTTACTTCGATCATTTTCATAAAACATATTAAAAATGAAATTTTAAAATTTATAGTATAATAGTGAGAGTTCATTTTAATTTCTCACGGCCCACCTGCAGGATCGCTGAGGCCCACCGGTTGAGAATCCCTGGTCTAGGTGGCCTGATATTTCCTGTAAATTGCACTTTAAGCTGAATACTTATATTTTGCAAGGAATATCTAATAATAGTATATAGTTGTATCTTGAAAAAATCTTCTCTCAGTAAAACAGCATTTGGAAAAGGTGCTGTTATACAACCATTTTGTTATTATTGTAAGAGTTTCTCATGCCTGACAGCTGTTTATGTGACTTAGCTGAGTGTGTAATATTAACACTTATGTCCATGTTTCTGTCCTCAGAGAACACAGTGAAGTCGGAGAGCAGCTCGACGTCTGACTCCACCATTCAGGACACTGGTGAGTTGCGGAACGGATCTGTGCATTACATTAGCAGGATAATTAACACCAGAGGCTGAGAGAAGAAGCCCTTTTACAATAGCAGGATGAGTTGAGTGGATGGAGAGACCCGCGGGGGTCATTTACAGTCTCACTTCAATGAGTCAAAGAGCCTGTTATTAACACTCACTCAACTAATCCTGTCCCTGTGGCGTCTACACACACACACACACACACACCTTTGTTTTTGTGAAAAGTGGGTACATTACGTAGGTTTCCATTCATTTTATGCAGCACAAACCGTATATTGTATTGCCCTCTCCCACCCTACCCCTAAACCCAAACATCACAGGAGACTGTTTGCAGCTTTACTCTCTGATTAAACTCATCCTGTGGGATTTATAAGCATTTTGAGAAATGAGGACTACACCAATGTCCTCATATTTCACCTCCTTTTTGTAATACCTGTGTCATACCTATGTCATAATACAGATTTGTGTTCTGATATGTCACAAAAACACGTACACACACACACACACACACACACACACACACACACACACACACACACACACAAAAATAATAATAATATGACCTAATAATCGGGTGTCACAATGATAAATCAGAGGCTAGGCTGAAGAAAAATGAACTAACGAATGAAAAATATTTAATAAAAATACATATAATACAAATAAGTAAGCCCTATTTTAAAAATGAATATTATCCATTTCTCAGTCTATATGGGTAATATATTTTGGTGCATTTGAACAAAACTGATTTATTGAACAAGAACAGATATACAGTTGAAACCAAAAGTTTACATACACTGTTTAAAAAGGCACATAACCATTTAAATAAAAAGTCAGATGTTAATGTAACTAAACTTTTTCTCTTTTAGGTAAGTTTGGATTATCAATTTAGTTTCTGTTATGCTTAATAGCAGAATAATGAGAGAGAGATTTTTTGAGAAATTGTTATAACTTTTCTTGAAAGTCAAGTTTACATGCAGTAAGACTATTATGCATCTGATTATGCATCTGATGCAAGACTAAAAGCTCTGATGATGGTGTCAAAGTTTTGGAAGTTTCTGATTGGCTAATTGATGTCTTTTGTGTTAATTGGAGGCACGACTGTAGAATAGTATTTAAAGAAAACCTCAAACACACTGCTTCCTTTTGTGACAGCATGGGGAAATCAACAAGCCAGAATCAACGAAAAAAGCCAGAATACACTTTGCTAAATTACACTGGAAAACAGAATAATTTTTAGAGACATGTCCTGTGGTCTGATGGAACTAAGATTAAACTGTTTGGCCATAATGACCAGTGTTGCATTTGGAGGACAAAGGGGAAAGCTTACAAGCCTAGGAACACCATCCCAACTGTGAAGTATGGGGGTGGCAGCATCATGTGGGGCTGTTTTGCTGCAGGAAGGACTGGTCCACTTCACTGCATAGATGGCATCATGAAGAAAGAACATTATGCAGAAATACTGAAGCAACATCTCAAGACATCAGCCAAGAAATTAAAACTTGGCCACAAATGGTTCTTCTAAACAGACCATGACCCTAAGCAAACTGTCAAATTAGTTAAAATGTGATTTAAGGACAACAGAGTGAATGTTTTGGAGTGGCCATCACAAAGCCCTGAACTCAAGCCTATATAAAATCTGTGGGGCAGAGTTGAAAAAGCTTGTGCAAGCAATACAGCCAACAAATCTGAAATTCTGTCAGGAGGAATGGGCCAAAATTCTTTCAAACTATTGTGAGAAGCTTTTGGAAGGATACCCAAAACACTTGACCAAAGTTATACTGTTTAAAAGCAAAGCTAAAAATGTATGTAAACTTATGACGACTAGAAATTAATATAAAATTCTCAAAAAAAATAAAAAAAAGAATTCTCTCAATATTCTGGCATTTAGCAAATGTAAATGATTTAGGTAATCCTAACGGACCTAAAATTGTAAACGTTTAGTATGATTTACCATCAGACTTTTTTTTTTTTTAAATAAATGGTCATGTTCCTTTTTTTAGTGCATGTAAACATCTGGTTTCAACTGTATTTATTAAAATAATAATTTAGTCACCAAACATATTTAGAAATTGAAAGGTAATGCATTTAAATTCATGCTTAATGTTGCAAAAAATACATAAACCATACAATTTAAGCAAATTTCATAATTGTTTTGCTTCTGTTGATTTTTCCTCGTTTTTAAAAATGTATTTATTAATTTTCCTTAACATATTAACTTTGGTGCACTACTTTTTGGACTGTTTTATAAGTTATTCTGATAGACAAGCTGCAGTTTTGGCTTCAATACTGACTAAGCTAATGTATATGCACAAGTATTGTATTGTATAGCATCCTGTAGTACAAATTAATTCAAAAGATATATTTGTGAGGGGTTTACTTATATATGAATTATGAATATACATAAATTACACATAAATAATAAATAGTGCTATATAAAATAAATCCCAATAGCCTTAAGATAACTTTTAAATACTATTGTATCTGTTAAGTTCTTCTAACCGTATAGACCATTTTGAGGGATGTAAACAAAAACAATGGTCCTGACGTATTTCCTGTTTTACATTTTACATTTACACAGCTTCTCAGAGTCCAAAAGATCAACATATAAATAAATAATGTTACGATAGCTGTTATAACATCAAGTTTTGATTGATTCGCCTCTTGATACAGATATGAAATAGTTTGACAACAAGCAGGAGACGGTAGGCTCATGGACCAATGACATAACCACATTGAAATGGTCTATAGAAGAAGGTGAGATCTGTCTGAGGCTCACATGACTCTCTCTCTGTCTCTCTCTATTAGAAGACGTCTCTGACAGTTTGTCACCCTCACGTCTTAAGCTGGTCTCCGGGAGTCCAGACAACAGAATTTCTCGAAAACTCTCCCCTGTGGAGATCTACTATGAGATGAAAACACGCCGCAATTCTGTGGCCAGCTCAGCCAGGTATACAAACACCACACACAGCATCTATGATCAGTAACGGACAAAAGAAACAACTGTTTTTACATTTATTTAGATTTAAAGTTGAATCAGTGCTCATTACCTGGCCTAGATAATCACCTAAATTAAAAACACATGAGGTTTGTAATTGAATAAATGCAGAAAAAAAGGCATCTACTGTTTCATTTAAGGGTATTTAGGAAATATCATAATTCTAACTGTATATATGTACAAATTGTAGCAATACAAGCTTCAATTACACAATGAAGATGGAATTTTAATATCCACATAAATTAAATCATAGAATCAGTATGTTAGTTTTAGGGATATCCATAAGGTAGTGTGCTACACAGTTGTGTACCGTCTTCATGTTTCAGTTCAAGCTGTCAATGTCAGGATATAAAGGAGACCCAAGTGCAAGGGAGCAGTTCAAGAGGATTTATTAACAGAAGTGAAATCAAAAACTTTGCTCTCAAAAGAAGTAGGAGAAAGTCACTCAAAAATATAATAGAGAACACAGGCAGTCAGTGATCGGCCCTCCTCTGGTCGATGATGGACTGGTCAAACGAAAAGACCCTCTGGGTTAAACAGTAGATAATGTTGGGCAGACCTCAGGAAACCGAGCTGATGGTGAGACTTTGTTCATGCGTGGACTGTGTGTAGAGCAGAGGTGAGCCAGAGCACAGATGATCGAATAAGTGGATTGAGACAAATAGGACTAGACAAGACGAAATACAAGAGGTATAATCTTCTGATCTGGGAGGAGAGGTAACGCACGTAGCTCTCAGACACAGAAACAATTATCAAGCACAGAAAGAGGGAGAAGGGGAGACTAAATAGCCAAAATAATTAGGGAGAACAGGTGAGAGTACTGGGGACGGGGAAACAAGGGAATTAATAACAGGTGCAACTGCATACAAATGACTAGACACAAGAGGGAGGCAGAGAAAACACACAAAAAACCCCTGAAAGTCAAACATCCAACAAAAATTTCAAATCACTTCATGGACCTTTAAAGACTAATTTTCTTTTTCAAATGTCTCTTAAAGTAGGTTTACATCTATCCTAGATTAATTAAAATTTTGACTTTCTCATAATTGTTTATTAACTTTTCTCTCAGTGTGACTGAAATGGTTGTTCAAAAGAGCCAGTTTCTCTTAACCCCGCATTTTTAAGAGCCTACTATGCTCTGATTGGTCCAGATCATGGCACCGCCTGTTGTGATTGGTCGACTGATTAAAGCACGTTTCAGATTTAAAATACCCATTTTCCTATTTTAATTTCAGCTTTTTCTCAGCACTTGTAAACAGTGATATGAACATTCAGTCAGTGCTTTCTGTTTTGGAGGTCTGTGCGGGACTCCTGCGAGGTTTTATTTAGCACCTAACTGCTCCCACTGTATATTCAGGCTTTGTTTAACCGCAGCACTGAATAATTTTTTACTCAACTGTTCCTGCTAAATTTACAGTTCTTAAATCATAAAAAAGGCACTTTATATTTTATTTACTAGAAATAATAAAGCCACAATTGTGAATCAAAGCATACATTTATAAGACATTTTATAAAACTGTTATTTTTCTCAATTTAACTTTTTTAAAGGGATAGTTCATTCAAAAAATGAACATTTACTCATTATTTACTCACCCTCAAGGTTTAACACAAAATATTAGCTATTTTGAAACCTGTACCTATTGACTTCCATAATAGGAAATACAAATACTATGGAAGTCATTGGTTACATTTTTCAAAATATCTTATTTTTTCTTCAGCAGAAGAAAGAAACTCAAACAGGTTTGTGACAAGCGAAGAGTGAGTAAGTGATGACAGATTTTTCAGTTTTGTGTAAACTATCCCTTTAAATGCATTCTAGAATGCATTCATAACCAAATATATATATTAATTTTTTTTCTCCCAGCCCGAGTCACTCTCTTCCCAGAAGTGTATCAAATCTGGAAGGACGAAGTGTACCAGCAACTCCTCTCCTGTCCCGTAATGGAATAACAGGAGCACACATCAGGTTACAAATGCACAAAACACACACACACACACACACACACACACACACACACACACACACACACACACACAAACTGAGCTGACTCAGTTCAGTGCCATACAGACATCTGGCTAATGCTTTTTATTGTGGTTTAAAAGGCCAGAATTGATAATAGCACAAACATTTTGATTAAATTACTTATTTGCAATAACGCATAATGAAGTAATGGATGTCTAAGGAGGTTAAATTGTAAAGCACTATTATGTGCTACTCAATGTAATTACACACACAGAGCTTTGTGTTGTGCTGGGAGATCCTCAAACACACTGATGTATTGTGCATCTGTCATTAAATCTGAGATTCACTTGGGCTGCTTAAAGGGATAGTTCACCCAGAAACTAAAATGCTGTCATCACCATCTTCATTACTATGTCGTTGTTAAAAAATGTGCAGATCTTGCTTTAAAAAACATTTTTAATAAATGCTGATAACTAAATAGTTTTTACCTCCATTATATTTTTGGTTTTTGTGAAAGTCATTGGAATCAGAACTGTTTGGTTACCAGTATTGTTCATATCTATTTATTTCTTTATCTCTTGCATCTTTTAAAGAGCCCATATTATACATGAAATAGGGTCATATCTTGGTTGTAAGGGTCTCCAACAACAGTCTAAGATGCATGCAAGGTCAAAAAACACTTTCATGGTCTTATAATCTGCATTTATTTTTACCTAATTATCCCAGCGACTCCTGTATGAATCGTCCAGTGATTCATTTATTCCCAAAGCCTCCTTAGCGCAAAGCTAATCTGCGCTGATTGGACCGATGACAGTCTGTCGCGATTGGTCGACTGCCTTCAGTCAGAGAGTGAAATGCCCAATAGCTAATCAGCAATAAGAAAGTAATCACAGTTCATACACGCTCGATAGTGTAGGCGTGGACTTTAGCTGCCACACACAAAAACACACACACACCTCCGGACGACAATGCTCCCGCTTCCGCCCATACCCGCCAGGTTTAGCCTGAACCCGACCGCTCCCGCTTATATGAAGAATTTGTTGGCCCGGTGCCCGACCCGCCCCGTTTTCTGCCCGCTGCGCCCGATCCCGCTAAAGAGCGGGGGAGAACAAAACCAAAAATCACCCAGCTATACAGTCCAGACAGCCAAGCTGTCTGTATAAACACACACACAGCACCAAGCACACACACACAGACAAAGTTCTCTCTCTCATACGCGCGCGTGCGCACTAACACACACACACAAGCACCAAGCAGACACACAAGCAATGCTCTCTCTCTCTTTCTCATTCGCATAGCAATATCCGTGATATTGCTAGACAGCCCGCTCCCGTCCCAAATTAAACCCGTTACCGACCGCTCCCGCGATTTATTCGGACATTTATTCCAGCGCCGCAGAAATCTGGCGCGGGGACAGCCGCGGGAATGCAGACCTCTACCATGGAGCTCCGTAAACAAAGCAGCACGCGTCGCGTTTTTAACGTGACTTTGCACGCGATAAGAGAATATAGCAAGCTAAATACATTTGCAAGCTAGAGTCAACGAGGCAACAACTTTAATCGCACGTACTTACACTTGAGAAATGGAGGAAGAAACCCATCCTGACGTCCATCAGTAAGTTAACTTACTCTTTACTGATCCTTCCTTTAACAAACGCTGATGAAGTATTCTTTGTAGCATGTAGTTTCCAGAAGTTTCCAGTAGTTTTCAACTGCTTGGTTATAATGCTGAGGTTTCATCTTTGGGTAGAGACTCAATATATCCATCTGCAGTGTGACTTTAATCGACCTCATGTTTGTGTGCGTGTGTTTGTGTGCGTGTGTTTGTGTGTGTGTCTGGGTTTCTGCGTCAGAGGGCGGGGCCTCAGGTTTAAAATCTCCCGGGTTTGCGCGTGCACGTGAATAACTTGGTTTCGTTCGTACGTCATGGCGAAACACCTAATGACTCGGTATCAAGGCGACTCGTTTAAAGCACTATGAGTCGACTCTTTTATAGATGAATCAACCGTTTTAAACACTGTATTGTTACAGATTTAAGCCTTAGCTGGATACTTCACTTCACTTAGAGCTGTGTTACACACTACATGGAGGGGAATTTTCAAAAACCCATAATATGGGCTCTTTAATGTTCTGCAAAAAAGGGAAATCTTATTAAAAAATGGCTCTCCTGTTAATGTTGATCAGTAGATCATGTTTAGTGAATGCAAGTAATTAAAAAAAATAAATATTAATGTATATAATTATATAAATCAATATATTTATCATACCAAAGGTAAAGTATCTTTACAAAGATAGTTTTATTAATAATTAAAGAGCCCCTATTATACAATAAAAAGAGTCATATTTTGGTTTTAAGGGTCTCCAACAACAGGCTGATTTGGATGCAAGCTCAAAAAACACTTTCATTTTCGTATAATATGCGTTTATTTTTACCTAATTATCCCAGCGACTCTTATATGATTCGTTCAGCAATTCAATTGTTCCCAAACCCCTCCTTAGCGCAAAGCTAATCTGCACCGATTGGACAGACGACAGCCTGTTGCGATTGGTCGACAGCGTTCCGCGAGAGACATTGTTGATATGCCATGCTGGACACTCTATTGAAGTAGGCAGAGTGTATGTGTGAGTATACCTGCCAACACTCCTGTTTTTCCCGGGAGTCTCCTGTATTTCAGACCAATTTCCAGCCACCCACCCATTTTGTATTTATCCCGGAAAACTCCCGTAACTACCCCCCTCCTCAGCATTTTGGTAAGGTCTGTGAAACCCCCGGGTCAATAATATTGGTATAGGATCCGATTGCAGTGACCGCCCGAAACACACTTTATAGTGGTTACTTACACCACAGAACACAGTTCCCGGTTCTCAACAGTGTTATTCAGACATGTCACTCCCGAACCTAACCCCCCCCAGTCTTCCGGATTTTCAGGGACAGATATTGGCAGGTATTTATGAGAGCAGTGCAGTGGTGCATTAGCATATTGCTCTATTCTGAACCATGACCCGAGTATTAATCCACACAGTGGCAAATAAAACTATTTTGAACCTTGACTGCCGCACTTGTGTAGGAACAGCTGACGGTGGCAATAGCAATGACAATCAGCATTGGAGCATGAGCTCACAGACGTATTTAAATACGTAAACAAAGCAGTACGCATCACGTTTCTTTAACGTGGCATTAGACCCGATATGAGAATATAAAGAGTTAACCTGATACAGTACAAGTGGTTACAAGTATCAAAACACAATTAAATACATCATTTGCAAGCTAGAGAAAACTAGGAGGCAACCATTTTAATCGCACTTACTTACACTTGTGAAATGGAGGAAGAAACTGTTCCATGATCCACTGATCCATGTACTGATAAAGTTCCTGTGTCGGCACCTACTCCTGGGTTTTTTTTCTGGCTGGTGGCACTTCTTGTCTCCTGCTCTGCTCCCGCTTCGGTGGAAGGCAGCAGGTTCCGGCATCCTGGCAGACAGCGGTGTCTCACCCGGCTTTTCTGGGCTGGCTCCTCACAGCTCTTTCCCTTGCGGTGGTGAGCGCCGTGTCCCCTGCCCCTCCCCATGCTGGGAGCCAGCAGCAGGCAGACCCTTTCCTCGTCAGCCTCTGGCCTCCCTGGCACTCTAGGCAGATGTACGGGTTTCTCCCCCACTCGGGTTAACTCCCGAACACTCGCCCTCCCTCTCAGCGGCGAGGGCATAGGGACAATGTGTCTCTACTTCTCTCGGGTTTCGGCACCACTGTAATGAAGTTAGATGGCCACCTGGCCATCGGGAAGAAGGAGTTTCTTTTCAATTATTTAACAATGAAAAAAAAAAAGAGGCAACTCCTCATGGAGACGGCCGTCAAACTGAAAGCAAAACATAAAACATCCAGGCCTGGTCTCTCTTGTCTAGCACTGGCGTCTCTGGTTCTTTTAGCTTTCAGTGCTCCTCTGTTAGACTCGAGGCAGGCGATGCATCCAGGTGTCTCTGATTATCTTACTCATGCCACCCGCCTCATCACGGCTCTCGGCCCTGCCACACTTGCCACAATCATGAATTATAATTCATGAAGCAATTGTTCTTGATTATATATTTAATTGATCTGACATTACTTTAGACAAACACCTATATAAATACAAGTTTATAAACATATTTACTGACACCTTTGATAAATTGACTGCATTATGCTGAATAAAAATATGCATGTTTTAAATCCCACAGACCCTAAACATTATCATATATATTTATAATGTCTCATGTATTTGTACAGGTCAGAATCATCCAGCGGCACTGCAGTTGTGAAGCAGTGGTCAGACAATCCCGAGGCGCCCCTGCAGGTGCCTGTTCAGTCTCAGGAGGGGTCCTCAGGGTCCTACGAGCAGGGCCACAGACGCAGCAATAGCTCGGAGACGTTACTGGACCGGCATGGCTCCGCAGCAGAGGACGGAGCTCAGAGGCCAGGACGAAACGGCCCATACAAGAGCTCAGAAGCACTGATGGACACCACTTTAAAACAGCCCCAGCGGAGCAGCCCCGAACGCCAGATAAACGGACACACTGAACTGTCCCGTGTACGTTCGACAGTAGGAGGTCGAGGCTCAAATGGAGGTGGTGGTTACAGTGAAATCCTCATGGATTACGTGTGGGGAAAGCAGCAGAAGATGCAACAACAAAGACTTCAAAATGGTCCAAAAACTAGACCGTGGCCTGAAGGTCCCAATGCTCCACCGCCTCCCTACAGAAACGGCTTTCCCCAATCACAGCAGCTCATCCTGGGTAACGGCCCTCCAGCTTACAGCCCGCTAATGCTAAGAGGAAAGCCTGGCGATCCGCGGAGAGTCAAAGTGACACGGACTAAATCCTGCGGGCCATTTGTTTCCTCACAGCAGCACCAGCAAGAATCCATTCTGCTCTCGGCGTACACTGAAAACAATGGTAACACAGGGCAGAAGGAGCACTCACATAGGCCGCCCCATTACCCTGTTGAATCCTCTGGCCCCACGACCCCTGATGACCCCACACGCAGCCTGCACAAGGCGCTGGCGCTGGAGGGATTGAGGGACTGGTATCTGAGGAACGCACTGGGACAGACGGCCACCGGAGGGAAGGGTAAAGACGGAACGCAGACGCAGCGCAGGCGGACCACCTCCTCTCTGCACAACTCACACCCACTCAAACACCAGCCTCAGTCCTTCCAGACGGACACAGCATATTCACAGATGACCCAGTCGGCCACGTTTCATGGACACCCTCTGCACGGCAGGTAATTATAACAACTAAATATATAGAGGTGAAGTCAGGATTATTAGCCCTTTTTCTTTTTTCCCCAAATAATGTTTAACAGAGCATGGAAATTTACTATAATATTTTTTCTTCTAGAGAAAGTGTATTTTTAATTTCAGCTAGAACTAAAGCAGTTTATATTTATTTTAAAACTATTAGCCCCCATAAGGAATACTTTTTTTTTATTGTCTACAGAACAAATCACTGTTATAAAATGACCGTAATCAACCTAACTTGTCTAATTAACCTAGTTAAGGTAATTCAGAAGGGCTAATAATTCAACTATATACTAGTGATGACATCAAGGGCACATTGTAAAACAAACAAACAAATAGTGTGTCTAGAAGTGCGCAAGACATAATCAGCACGGTGCAGGTTCATGGTCTTAAAACAGCGTCACAAAAGGGGAATCCTGATTACGCCCATCTTAAAGGCATAGTTCACCCAAAAATGAAAAATACCTCACCATTTACTCTCCCTCGTGTGGTTTTAAATCTTTGAGTTTCTTTCTTCTGTTTAACACAAAAAAAATAGTTTGAAAAATGTTGACTTTTGGTTTAATTTGCATATTGTGCTCACTTGCACCCTCTTGTGGACATATACAGACTTTACAGAACTTTTTCTTTTAACATTTAGGACGCTGTCATTTACCTGTCACAATGAGGCACAAGACGTGCTTGGGGAGATTTGTTGCTATTTTCAGACCAGCCGCGCCACTGACCAGCTAAAAGAAGAGCGCATGCAGATCCAAAACCCTTACACATTGCTTAAAACACACAGGCATGGCTAGATTAAGAACACCTTGGTCCCTGGGGCTATAACAAATTCAAGGGCCCCTCTTTTATTTTTTACCTCACAAAAGTGTGTGTGTATATATATATATATATATATATATATATATATATATATATATATATATATATATATATATATATATATATATATATATATATATTATTGTTATTATCATAAAAAATTACTAATTAATATTATTATCTAATGTTCCACCATTTTTTAGTTGATGATTATATATTTTTCTATTTTATTAAAGTAGGCCTGCAAGTATGCAAGAATAAGTAATGGCATAATATGAACTTTAAAGTTCAAACAGGCTGAAAAAAGCAAAACATTTGCAATACCTACTAAATTGCTTTATAATAAATACTTTAAATTGGGGTTTACTTTTAAAAAGGTTCTTTAGAACTTTAGCTGACCATAAATCCCTAATGATATAACATCTTAAATATCCATGCGTCAAATATCCAAAATAGCTTACTGTGGTTTTCTGAGTTACAGAAGGATAGCATCCTTATTTTATTTTATTTTATTTTATTTTATTTTATTTTATTTTATTTTATTTTATTTTATTTTATTTTATTTTATTTTATTTTATTTTATTTTATTTTATTTTATTTTATTTATTTAAGCTCAGAAGCACAACAATTATTTGAAATAAAAGTCACATCCTATTGCTGACTGCAAACAATTACCATATTTGATCCTTCATTTTTAAACGTTTCATCTTTTCTTTCTTGTTCATTACAGGTCAATCGAGCTTTCTTTGTACCAGGAATCCTTTTCATCAAAAACGCAGGAAGTGACACTAACAGACAGCAGTAATGACAGACCCACGCCGGGGACTCTGGTCTGACACGCAAAAACAAACACAAAGACACTACAGCAAACACCAGCCTATGGCAGACTTTTAAAATAGAGAATTTGTTTCCTTACAGTGGATACAACTGAATAATTCAACAAATAATTACAGAAATCAGTCAAGCATCTTTTTTTATACTAAAAAATGCTAAGCCACCACAAACAAACACATGTGCTCAAGACACTTTTCAGCAAGAAATCAAGCTGTCTTCTTGTTTCACGTCATCTCCAGGTTTTTGTAGACTTGTTATATATACAATAGTTCGGTAAATCTCCCTGTAGATCAGAAAAAGTAGTAGAAAGCTATATAAATAGACATCATGTCAGCACATTCCTATTATTAAACAACAATATTATTTAATTTGTATTCATTTTAAAACATACAAACAGTTGAAGTCAAAATTATTCGCCCTCCTGTGAATTTATTTATTTTTTTTTCAAATGTTTCCCAAACGGTGTTTAACCAGGCGGCAATCTCCCACTCTCCTTTATGAAGCCAATACGGCAGTAATTAAAACTGCAATTCATCGAATCGCCTTAGGGGGCTGGCTCCAAGAACTCCATATGTTCACTGACTGCCATGCTAAAATGGTCAATTTTACAGCTGATAAAACATGTTTACAGTCTGGTACAAGAGATGGTTTTGGTGCATATAGCTAATATTACTCTTCATAACAACTTTGAGGGGGGTGAATTTATTTATAACTTATCCGTTTCATTTTTATTAAGTTACATTAAGTCTGCATAATTAAGGGGGTGGCCACTTGAGTGACAGCTAGGTCTTGCTGGTCGCGTCACTTCACCTCAGCTGATTCCGGCTGATTAGCCGCTGAACTCGACATATACATTGGCTGCGTCCGAAACCGCATACTTCCATACTATATAGTACGCCAAAATCAGTATGCGAGCCGAGTAGTATGTCCGAATTCATAGAATTCGAAAATCAGTATGCGAAAAGTACCCGGATGACTTACTACTTCCGGCGAGATTCCGGAGTGCGCATCCCATGCATGCTGCGCTATCCCATGATGCCCCGCAAGCGAATTCATGAATGGAAGTAAAGCGACGCAACTGACGCATGTAGGTCACGTGACCATGACAAAATGGCGGATGTAGTACGTCCGAATTCCATTCATACTTTTCACATTCATACTGTATAGAACGTACTTTTCTAACGGCCGAGTAGTACGTTTAAATTCAAATGCAGTACCCACTGAGTAGTAGGCGGTTTTGGACGCAGCCATTGTATATCAGATAATATGGCATTCTGTGTGCACCTAATTGTGCTCACAAACCATTCAAGTTGCCCCCATTTCCCAGGTGAGTGTAATGATATGCTTATATACCATCTTTATAAATGTATTTGTTTTATTTAAGATCATTTATCATTTATATTTTTCTTTAGAGCTGTAATGCACTCCGGAATCTGATAGGCTGATTAGCTGTAGGCTCTAGAACAGTCATCCGAAACGTTGTCATACAGTGTTATGACTGGATTTCATAAATAGCCTTGCATGTACTAACAGACTATTTTTGATGTATTTGGAAGTAATTCGCATTTTCCTCCCGTAGAAAAACGTCATAAGAACAATGTTTAGTGGCTCAATGTGTTTCAGCAGTGTTTTTAAAAGACTAAACACTTTATTGATTTGGTACACAACTAAGCACATGTGGTCAGAACAAAAACGAGTCGCAGGTAATGAAGTATTAAGCGTTTCTCCCAAAGAAAAGCCTGTCCAAGCAAAATGCTAGAAGGGGTTTGTATCTCCGCTCACGCTCCGCCTCTTTGGCTTTTTTAGGAACCCCTGGGCGGCGAGATGACACACGAACAAAATGGCGATGGTTGGCCACGCCTACTTGTTGCTTCATTTGCGCTCTTCAGAAACTTATGGGTGACGTCACGGATACTACATCCATATCTTTTACAGTCTATGTGTTTAACAGAGCAAGGAATTTTTTACAGTATTTCCGATAATATTTTTTCTTCTGGAGAAAGTCTTACTTGTTTTATTTCAGCTAGAATAAAAGTAGTAATTAATTTATTTGAAACTATTTTAAGGTCAAAATTATTAGCTCCTGTAAGCAAAAATTTTTTCAACAGTCTACAGAACAAACCATTGTTATACAATGATTTGCCTAATTACCTTAACTTACCTAGTTCACCTAGTTAAGCCTTTGAATTATAGAAGGCTCATAATTCTGACTTCAACTGAATACACAATCATTTAATGAGAAAATCCAATATCGGTCGCTGGTGAAACAGCATAAAAGTAGTACATTTAGAGTCTTTCGAGGGAAAAATGTTTTTTTTTATTATTATAATATTTCTATGCAGATAACAATCAAACCAGACTGTGTTTAGATCAAATTAAACTTTTTTGATTAACGATTTTCTTTGTAGGAGAAAAAAAAGCCAAATCTTAAACCTTTGTCGGACTGTTATGGAGTCAGTAACTGTTTCATGAGATCTGTTAGTATATTTAGTTCCACATTAGAATAGTAGAGGGGTATAAACACAATTATTCAGGATGATGACAAGAGGAATGGCACAAAGGTCGTATTTACTGTTTCTAATTTCTCAGGCTGTAATTATATATACCAGTATTGCTATAGACAAAGAAAACAGAGATGCATACTGCAAGAAAGCATTGTTAAAAATAGCATTTCTGCAAAAATAAACGCTAGGGTGAATCTCATGAAACCGGTCAAGAACACATTTCACTTCACTATCAGAAAACAAAATGATTTGTTTTAAAACAGGGGCTTTGGATTTGAAGCACAAACTCAGTTTTCATTAGTGTAATAGAAGAAAACAATCATATTATTTATGGATTTAAGGATAATCATAATACGCGTGATGCTGGATTTCTGCAGATTTTTAAAAACAAATGTCATTACTGGGTGAATTTTAAATGCTGAATGATCATTAAGAGCAATGAGAAATATAAAGGAGCTAAAATATATACACTATAGTGAATATAAAGGTATATTATATAATTAATATGATGAAACATATGATAGAACACAAACCAAACACACATTTACAGTTATTGTTTTAGCAGATGTCTTCATCCAAAGCGACTTACGTTATTATTATTATTATTATTATTATTCATTCATTCATTCATCTTTCAGCTTAGTCCCTCATTTATTGCCACAGCGGAATGAACTGCCAACTATTCTGGCATGTGTTTTACGCAGCGGATACCCTTCCAGCCACAACTCTTTACTGGCAAACACCCATACAAACACACTCATACAATATGGACAATTTTGTTGATCCAGTTCACCTGTTCAGCATGTCTTTGGACTGTGGGGGAATCGGAGCATGCGGAGGAAACCCACGCCAACACTGGGAGAACATGCAAACTCAGCACAGAAATGCCAACTGGCCCAGCCGGGACTCGAACTAGCGACCTTCTTGCTGTGAGGCAACAGTGCTAACTACTGAGCCACCATGCCGCCCAACTCTACATTTTCATTCATTCATTTTTTTTCTTTTCGGATAAGTCTCTTTAATAATCTGGGGTTGCCACAGTGGAATGAACCACCAACTTGCATATGTTTTACGCAGTGGATGCCCTTCCAGCTGCAACCCATCACTGAGAAACATACATACACACTCATTCACACACTCATACGCTACGGACAATTTAGCTTACCCAATTCACCGATACCACATTTTTGGACTATGTGGGAAACCGGAGCACCCTTAGGAAACCCACGCCAACATGGGGAGAACATGCAAACTCCACACAGAAATGACAACTGGCCCAGCCGGAACTCAAATCAGCGACCTTCTTGCTGTGAGGCAACATTGCTAACCACTAAGCCACCGTGCCGCTGAACTCTTGATTTTATTACATAAAATTAATAAAAAGTTTTTGTTGACAAATTAGAGGTAGTTGTAACGTTTTTAAATGGAAATTAAATGTTCTTTTGGGGCTGAACTGAGGTCATTAAATACAGTCTTTTGATATGTCATCAAATGATTCTTGTTCTAAATATGCTTGACCACACTTTTAAAAACATAAACTATTATTATTACACTCAATGACATTTCCTTTGTAGGTGTCGTCTTCTGTAAATCTTGGTAAAATATCGTCACTTTAGAATTATTAGGTTCTATCTGACATTTTTGTCAAAATTGAGTTATTGACATTCTTATTAAATGACAACTTTTGTTGTGTGATGTTTTTTGTAAGTTGTTTACATTTTAAGACTTTTTATTTAAAAAAACAAATGTTGCACACATATTGTTTGCTATGGAATGCGAAATTTTTGAAGCTCAATATCTCAAAATCATTCAGAACGCAGATAGAACCTTAAAATTCCAAGGTGACAATATATATCAATGATTTTGCGTAGTGCGTCACGGTGGCACAATGTGTAGCACGATCGCCTCACAGAAAGAAGATCACTGGTTCGAGTCCTGTTGGCATTTCTATGTGGAGTTTGCATGTTTCCCTGTGTTCTTCATGTGCTTCGGTTTCCCCCACAGTCCTAAGACATGCGCTATAGGTGAATTGAATATACCAATTGACAGTAGTGTTTGTGTGTGAATGCAGGAGTGTACATTTGCGCCCTCTTGTGGACATATACAGACTTTACAGTACCTTTTTTTTGTATTGACATTAAAATACTTATATTTAAGAAATAAATGATAGGTTTACAGCCATGTTCACAGCCCTACACTGTAGCAAATTGCATTACAAATATTCCCAACAAAAATGATTTGTTACTTTAACTAGTTTTAATAAGTTATTAAAATTTCAACTAAATTTGTTTTAGTTATATCAAGATTAACTTTGTATTTTTAGTCAGTGTGACTGATGTAAGTTGAGATGACTAGAAGAGTTCCTTTGATTCAGCACACAAATCAATGGCTTACAGTGTAATATATACTGCAGACTGAATGGGAATATTATTATAATACACTCATTCAGTTTCCTTCGGCTTAGCCTCTATTTCAGAGGTTGCCACAGCGGAATGAACCACCAACTATTCTGGCATATGTTTTATGCAGTAGATGCCCTTCGAGCAGAAACCCAGTACTGGGAAACATATGCTGGAACAGTTTTTGGTTCATTTTGCTGTGGCGACCTCTGAAGGAGAGACTAAACCAAAGGAAAATGATTGAATGAGTGAAATTGAATTAGCCATTTATTCCTGTCATTCAAAGTCTTCAATCTCACTTGATCCTTTCACATGAAACATTTCATATTATTATCAGTGCTGAAACAGTTGTGCTGCTTCATACTGTTTATGCAAACAATTATTACAAACAATCGGGAAGCTCAAAAGTGTGGGTTTCCTCCAGGTGCTCCGGTTTCCCCCACAGCCAAAAGACAAGCACTATCAGTGAATTGAATTAACCAAACTGGCCGTAGTGTATGTGTGTAAATGCAGGAGTGTATGGGTGTTTCCCAGTGTTGGGTTGCAGCTGAAAGGGTCTATGCTGGATAAGTTGTTATAATTGTATTCTAATCAATTATAATGAAATATTTACACTTTTAATCTTTTGATGCTTGAAAACCCCATACACACTAACCTTTTTTTTTTGGAGTGAAATGTGGCTGACATGGATTTTCTTTAAAGGATAGTTCACTCAAAAATGAAAACGCACCTACTATTTACTCACCTTCAGGTGGTTTTCAACCCTTTATGAGTTTCTTGTTTCAAAATAACACAAAAGAAGATATTTTGAAAAATGTTAAAAACCTGTATCCATTGACTTCCATAAAAACAAATACCATGGAAGTCAATGGTTACAGGTTTGCTGCATTTTTGAATTTTTTTTTTTTTTGTGTGTTCAACAGAAGAAACTCAAACAGCTTTGTGACAAGAGAATGATGAGTAAATTATTACAGAATTGTGCGTTTTGACTTAGCGATCAGGTTTTTCTAACCATGTCCACTAGGAGGAGCCCCATAATCTGTTTTCCGGCTCTGTTTCAATCCCCATCAGCAGCCTGCCAGGTGCAGTACTCATGGCAAGAATCACCAGCTTCTTGTGTATAGCGCCTTAATTGCAAACGTTCATTGTGTTTTCTATGGAATTGACTCCAGATGTCAATATTTACTGTATTTCTCAGTAATCAGATTGCAGGAACTGAAAAGGATTAATTACTCAAATCGGGACTTTGCCAAGACTAGTAATTTTCCTGCGCCCTCCATTAGAAATTCTTTGATGAATTGTGATACTCCGAATGTGGCATTGCCTACTAATGCCAGGTTGCCAATCTTCAACCATTGTGCCTAAATAGTAACACTGCTAAATAATTATTTTCTTACTTAGAGGTCTCGTTTTGTTTATAGCCAAAATATCTTTGAAAAAAGTAAATTAAGTAGCAAATTTAAATAAAAAATACCTTTAAATAATTGAAATTAAGAAGCACATTCTTTACAAGCAAAGAAAAATTCATTTAAAAATTCTGAGTGAGAATTTTGTAAAAGTGCTAAAGAAATTGTAATAAAATGATTCAATTAAAAAAAATTAAGTGAGTTTCACCTTAAAACAAGAAGAAATTTTATTTTGCTGACTCCACTGGTTCTGTCTTATTTGTATTTAGAAAATCTTTTTAAAAAGTTAATTAAGTAGCAAATTTTAATTAAAAATACATGTAAATAACTCAAATTAAGAAGCATTTTCTGTGCAAGTAAAAAAAATATTTTATTAAAAAAAATTCAGAGTGAGAATTTTAAAAAAGTGCTAACAACATTATAATAAAATTAGTCAATTAAATGAAATCTCCCTAAAACAAGATAAATAATGTAAAAACTATTTTATTTTGCTAACTCCACTGGTTTGGTCTTTTCTGTAGTCAATATATCTTTAAAAAAAGTTAATTAAGTTGCAAGTTACATTAAAAATGTAAAAATACATTTAAATAATCAAAACTAAGAAGATTCTGTACAAGTAAAAAATAATTAACTTAAAAATTCTAAGAATAAGAATAATACAACGCTTTAATTAAAATCATAAAAAAATAGTCAATTTAAAAATATTTAACCCTAAAACAAGAAAATTAATGAAAAAAATATTTTATTTTGCTGAACCTACTGGTTTTGTCTCGTTTGTAGTAAAAATATATTTTAATGTAGCAAATTTAAATAAAAAAATAATTTAAATAATTCAAACTAAGTAGCTCTGTACAAGTACAAAATATATTTTATTTTTTTATATAAAAAGCTTAAAGTGAGAATAAAAAGAGGAAAATTAGTCTATTTAAATAAAAAAAGTGAGTTTCTTCTTAAAACAAGAAAAATCATTTAAAAACTATTTTATTTTGCTGACTCCACTGGTTTTGTCTTGTTTGTAGTTAAAATATCTTCTTTTTTTAAGTTTATTAAGTAGTTAATTTAAATAAAAAATACATTTAAATAATTAAAACTTATTTTTTGTATTTAAAAATTCATTGTTAAAATTTTAAAAAGTGCTTAAATTAAAATTATTTTTAAATTAGTAAATAAAAAATTAAGTGAGTTTCTCCTTAAAACAAGATAAATAATTTAAAGTTCTCATCAACATTTTCATGTAACATATCAATGTAAAAAATAAACAATTCATCAACACTTAATTAAAAAAAATGTATGTATATATATATATATATATATATATATATATATATATATATATATATATATATATATATATATATATATATATATATATATATATATATATATAACAAGTTTATTTTGCTGAACCCTGCTGACTGAATATTTTGCCCGTTTTAATAAAATAAAAAAAAACTTTTTTTTCACTTGATTTTTATTTTGCCCAATCCCCCCCATAGTTGGACTTGTCACAAGACAAAACCTCTAAGTAAGAAAAAAATACATATATTTTTGCAGTGAAATGCATTATATAAGATACTACTAAGCTCCATGTTGAAATAATGTGTATTTCTTATACAGCCAGTTTAAATAAAAAGTGTAATAAATTTGGTGTTTCATAAACTGCTCTTTTAGGACTGAAAAACAGCCATTGAATAGCTGGCTAATTCACTCTGGTAGATGTAGTCTGCTGTGTTTCTTATAGTGTAACCTTGATGTATACCAATGCATGCAGGTGTCTGTTCTCCTTTATAGATTCTCACCATGGTTTATTTCATCATGTCATCCTCAACTGGCATCTTGATGTAGGACTTGAAAAACATCTACATGTAGAAAGCCTCCACTATGAATAAATCTCTGAGATTTGAACTCTGAAGCAATCGAACACTTTCTCAGATACTTTGTCGCCAAATGCTGCCGTGCTTGTCTCAGGACTTCACTGAAAGCTGCTTTTATTATGGTCTGTCTGTTTGAAATCAACGCCACTGATGCATGGAAGTGTCACTAATAGAAGAAACCTTTTTTTTCTCTTGCCATTTTATTTCAGACTTGTGACATGCGAGGAGATTTCCAAATGTTTATGATGCTTGTAAAACCCTGCTGAAGACATTTAAGGTCATCTTATATCACACGATTTATCGTTTTTTTATAGAAAGATTGATGACTGAATCAGATAATGATCTAAAGGATGAGCAGTGTGGTTAACAACCTTTTATTTTTTAAATTATAACCGTTGGTTTAAAGTGAACGCAAATAAAACCAATGAGGTTTGTGATCTGTGTAACGCTTCTACAGTATGTCATGGTACCTAATTGCTGACACTTTCTGAAGATGTAGATTTCCTTTGTGTGTTTTTGGATACTTCTGGAGATTATATCTTCCCTGTTTCGGTTTCCCCGATTACTTGCTCGTGTGTTTTATCACTTTTGGAAGAAACCTTTCCAAGACTGTATATAATTTGCTGTTTTTCTTTTGGTTTTCTGACATTTTATATCTCTATACAAGAAATCTTATTAAAAAAAAGACAAGACTGTACAAAGTTTGTTTTTAATAAAGTGTTTTTGGTCATATGAAGTCATTTGTGTTATTAATATGGCCTGGATGGATGGATAGATAGACAGACAGACAGACAGACAGACAGACAGACCGACAGACAGACAGTCAGAGAGAGCATCTCTGAATGCACAACATGTCCAACCTTGAGGCAGATGGGCTACAGCAGCAGAAGACCACACCGGATGCCACTCCTATGTGTTAAAAACAGGAAACTGAGGCAACAATTCACACAGACTATCCAAAATTGGACAATAGAAGATTGGAAAAATGTTGCCAGATCTGATGAGTCTCGATTTCTGCCGCGACATTCTGATGGTCAGAATTTGGCGTCAACAACAGAAAAGCATGGATCCATCTTGCCTTGTATCAACGGTTCAGGGTGGTGTAATGGTGTGGGGCATATTTTCTTGGCCCACTTTGGGCCCATTAGTACCAATCGAGCATCATGTCAACACCACAGCCAACCTGAGTATTGTTGCTCACCATGTCCATCCCTTTATGACCACAGTGTACCCATCTTCTGAGCCCACAAATCTGTAGCAACTGTGTGATGCTATCATGTCAATATGAACCAAAATCTCTGATGAGTATTTCCAGTACCTTATTGAATCTACGCCATGAAGGATTAAGGCAGTTCTGAAAGCAAAAGGGGTTCCAACCCAGTACTAGCAAGACGTACCTAATAAAGTGGCCGGTAAGTCTATCTATCTATCTATCTATCTATCTATCTATCTATCTATCTATCTATCTATCTATCTATCTATCTATCTATCTATCTATCTATCTATCTATCTATCTATCTATCTATCTATCTATCTATCTATCTATCGTAAACTTTACAATACAGTTACTTTAGTAAATGTTATTGTATTCACTAACATGAATTAAGAATGAACACTGTATTCATTAATCCGAGTTTAACCTTTACTTATTATTAAATTCCAAACTTGTGATAAATGTATTGTTCATTGTTTCTTCATGTTAGTTTATATGTTTTAAGTATGTCATCATTTTTTCATTTATATACTTATAGCTCTCTTACAATCATGGAAATAACGCTGAAGTGAATTGAATTACAGCTGATTTGATATCACAGCAGCTTCAATAAACTGGAAATATGCCAGTGATGATGAAAACAGTAGTGACTTTTGTCTTGTGTGGCGTGAGTAATGTCCGTGTTTACTCCACCTATCGGCGCAGTTTACTCTGATTCCACCACCGGAGACCCGGTGAGGTTGATGGATTTACGCATAGACTCAAACACACACCGGAGGCTTCAATTCTGCTTTCAGACCGGTTGTTGAGTTACATGACGGGGACTTCATGTGCTCACCATGACGAGGGTCTGTCAGACTTCCGATCTGCTGAGAAAATGACCTTTACGAGGATCAAAACAGACGGAAAAGTTGGACGGAGGAAGTTGAAGTAAAGTGAATATTAGCCAGCAGCGCTAGCACCGCAATTTAAAAGACACCTATTTGACATTTTGATTATAAAGTGTGCAAATGCTAACATGTAAATAGTTTATAGTCAACTTGCTGTGTTCAGTTTTTAATGTGTGTGTGAGTCGACACGCTGATTGTTTATAGTACACACGGAGTTTATTAGCTTGACTTGCTAGCTGTCATTTGAACTACCTCTGAAGTCAGGATATATTGTTTGTTAGATTATAACGATATATCACTTTACGGTAGTTTAATCAGCAAACTTGTAATGTTTTATCGTTGTAAACAAGCAACTATTTCCACAGTGGCGAAATAAGTCATGACATTTCAGTGTGAACTTTCTCCTAAAACCCGTTAGCAGAAACAAATAACGATATAAATGCAACATTTGTTGTCAGACAGTAAGTAAAGATATTAATATGTGTGGTAAAGTTCATGTCATTTATTAAAATGAGAAACATTTGATTTTATACTCTATTCTAGAGTGTTATATTAGAGTAAGTACAAATATTTCATTTTGTATGATAATCAATACAATTTTTTAATCTATAAAATTTATATACATACAAATACGCACAACAACTATCGCTTTTCCTCCATTTAATCTCATTGCTGTCTCTTAAACTTGAGATTTCCCGTAGATTGTGTCAGTTTGCCATGCTGTCAGTTTTCTGATATTGCATTTATATTAGTTTACGCAAACAAATCTGCGTTCAGGAGAGACCTGCTTTTTAATAACCACAAGTTTGAACAATCCCAGCATCAATAAGCTACAAACAAAATGTCTGTGTACTCAAAACTGCCCTCTCAACTGAAGAAACCCCTGGTGAAAAAGGCTGTTGTGCTTCTCATTGCGCTCTATGGGGTGAAGAAACTATCCCCGTACTTCTTCGGCAAGCTCAAAGGAAGGACTAGTAAACAAGTTAAGGGCGCTGACCCGCTTACCTCCAATGGAGAGCCCCTAGTAGAAGCTGCGAGGAAAAGGAAACGCTCACCAGCGGTGAACCGTGAGTTTTTCGACAGGTTGATTCGCCTCTTGAAAATCCTCTTTCCTCGGCTTTTCTGCAAGGAGCTCGGCCTGCTCGGTTTCCACTCTCTGGCTCTCATTTCACGCACCTTTCTCTCCATCTATGTGGCCAATTTGGACGGGCAAATAGTGAAAACCATTGTGAAGAAGGATCCTAGAGCGTTTGTGGTGGAGTTAACCAAATGGCTGCTCATTGCTATTCCTGCCACGTTTGTGAACAGTGCCATCAGGTACCTGGAGGGTCAGCTCACCCTTGCTTTCCGCACTCGGCTGGTCACCCATGCCTACATGCTGTATTTCAGCGATCAGACCTACTATCGTGTCAGCAACATGGACGGCAGGTTGGCAAACCCTGACCAGTCGTTGACCGAAGATGTGGTGATGTTTGCTGCTTCTGTGGCTCATCTGTATTCAAACCTGACCAAGCCCATCTTGGATGTGGTGGTGACTTGTTACACGCTCATTAAAACGGCTGAATCCAAAGGCGCCAACACCACTTGGCCGTCAGTCATAGCTGGCATCGTGGTGGCACTCACTGCCAAGGTTCTTAGAGCATTTTCACCCCGCTTTGGTAAACTGGTGGCAGAGGAAGCCAGGAGGAAAGGAGACCTGAGATACATGCATTCGCGCATCATCGCCAATTCAGAGGAGATCGCCTTCTATGGAGGACATAAGGTGAGAAAACGGCCTCTTGGGTTGGTTTTGTGCCATCATTCATTTACCTCATGTTTCTTTCTTTCATGGAATACAAAAGTTGTTTTGAAGCATGTTTAAGCTGCTCCATACAATGAAAAATACTATACAGTACAATATTTATTTATAAAGCACATTTAAACACAACAAGGTGGTGCAGTAGGCAGCACGATCGCCTCACAGCAAGAAGGCTACTGGTCTGACCCCCGGCTGGGTCATTTTGCATTTCTGTGTGGGGCTTGCTTGTTCTCCCCGTGTTGGTGTGGGTTTCCTCTGGGTACACACAGTCCAAAGACCTGGGGCCTCATGTATCAACGCTGCGTACGCACAAAAACTTTGCGTACGCCAGGTTTCACGCTCAGAATCGATCACGTTTGGATTTACTAACAATGAACTGAACGTGGGAATGTGCGCAGCTTCACGGCAGCTTTCTGGCTGGCGTACGCACATTTTTTGTGCGTGTCTGTTTTATTTCCATTGGCGACTCCTAGAGGCAGTTGTGTTAAATTCCTCTCTACAAAGTGTCTTTGAGCCTTGCAATGGCAGCTGTATGAGACAGGTTCATCTAGCATGTATATATGGTTTCCATATCATACAGTTGACCAGCCAAACATTAAAGCACAATTTGCAGCGGTCGCCTGTTTTCCCAATGTAATCTGAGCGATCTACCGCACGTACATTGCTATAAAGACACTATCTGAAGATGAATTTGCAAGCGTGAATCAGAAACATTTCCATTCAATAAATGTGCAAATAAAATATGATGCACAAACTTATTAATGATTCCTACTAGTCTTTCTCATGATAAATAGTAGGCAAAATATGATATGTAGCGGGGGAAAAAAAAGAAGAAAGAGTTCATCAGACGCTGGATTCGAGCCGAGTTCATGCTCGAACGTGTCAAAACATGATCACATGCGTCTTACGAGCGCGCCACTGAGACTGTTCAGAGTGCTGCAACATTTTACAGATATAAACCAGACTATTTTTTTTTAAATGCACTCAGTGCGATGTTCAGACCCAACTGTGTTAACCGCATCAGCTAAACTCTCCCACTCTATTTTTTTTCTTTTGTTGTTAATTCCGAAAAACAAACTTGCAAATAACACCACTTTTCTCCGGTCTACCTCCGAAAGCAGCACCTCCAATTCACATTCTGTTCAAAGTTTCTCTTTTTGCTTGCTTTTGCCATTGCTTTTTCGTTGGGTTTTACCATTTGCATAGTCATTAGCATATTCATACGGGGGAGGAGGCAGGGAGGGGTTTTGTGCTCGTGCATGTTGCGCTCAGTTTCACGTTCATTCGGATGTACAAAAGAATATGCGTGAGACTCGGCGTACGCAGTGTTTCTTACATCTGAATTTTTTTCTGCGTACGCACATTTACAGCTTTGTGCGTACGCAATGTTTTAGTATGATTTCCACGCAAGTCTTCGTACATGAGGCCCCTGCTCTATACGTAAATTGGGTAAACTAAATTGTCCGTAGTGTATGTGTGTCCCAGTGATAGGTTGCGGCTGGAAGGGCATCTGCTGTGTAAAACATATGCTGAAAAAGTTCTTGGTTCATTTCGCTGTGGCAACCCCTGATTAATAAATGGACTATGTCGATTAGAAAATGAATGAATGAATTAATTTAAATACAACCAAAGTGCTGTACATAGAAGTACTAAAAACAGAGAAGACACTAAAATATAAAAGGAGACAATTAGTAAGTAAAAGCAATAAAAAAAGAGTAATCAAGGAGTATTAATAGCAAGATTAAATAAAAAGTTTCAGAAAGAACCAAAAAGTAAGGACTGTTATGTCCCGACCAGTCTAGACGTAAGGCTGATTTCTACTTCATAGCCAAATTGTAATGCAGACCAGCAGAGACAGCGTGCAGAAGTATAAATGCACAGCTACAGGCGTTGCATGCACCATGGGTTACGCCGGTCTCTTGACGCAGAAGTATAAACCAGGCTTTAGGGGAGCAATAGGTATAAATTAAATGTCGAAATAATAAATTTAGGGTTTTCCCTTCTCCTGTCCCAGCTCACAATAGCCAAAACAGGTTTAGCAAGGAATAACAATGTTTATTTTCAAACTAAAGTTCTCCGAAGCATCTCTTTGGAAGGGAATCCAGGCCAAAATAATAATAAGACAACTAACTTGCAGGAAAATAATACCTAACTTACCTTTTCAAATAAAGAACCCCAAATAAAATTACAATATATATATATATCTCAATATATATATATATATATATATATATATATATATATATATATATATATATATATATATCACATAATATATATTATCGCATAGTATATATAACATAAAATAAATGAATAAATAATTAGAATAAATTTACCCAAAAATGAAAATTGTGTCATTATTTACTCACCTTTTATCAAACCCTATTTGATTTTCTATCTTCTAAGAACACAAAAGAAGATATTTTTAACTATGCTGGTTACTGGCACCCATTGAATTCCACAGTAATTGTTTCCCCTACTATTGAAGGCGATGGATGCCAGCTACCAGCATTCTTCAAAATATCTTATTTTGTGTTCAGTAGAAGAAACTCATCAGGTTTAAAATCACATGCGGGAAAGTAAATAATGATGTCATTACATTTTTGCATGAATTTTCCTTTTTTTGTGTTTTTTTTTTTAGTTCTTGTGAATCACAAAAGGAAACAAATAATTAAAAAATACACACACGCACGCACGCACGCACACACACACACGCACACACACACACATATATGTGCTAAATTTATATATATATATATATATATATATATATATATATATATATATATATATATATATATATATATATATATATATATATATATATATATAACATATGCCTTAGTGATACATTTTTTAAATAGGCACTGTCCTTATAAATAAACTGGATAGTTGCAATCTAAACAACTACATTCTCACCTAAAAACGCCTCAAAAGTACATTATGTTGTCCAACAGCTGCAGTATTTGTCAAATTGTAGTCCTTGTGTGGGCGGAGTAATACACAAGGCTAAAGGGGCTGAGCAAGTGCTGATATTACTTTAATATCTCATGGCTATCAACCAATTAGATTTAAGAACCAGACTGAACTGTTGTGTATATATATTTTAAAAGAAATTGATACCTTTTGTCAACCTTTAATACAAATATTCATACATTCATTTTCTTGTCGGCTTAGTCCCTTTATTAATCCGGGGTCGCCAAAGCGAAATGAACCGCCAACTTATCCAGCAAGTTTTTACGCAGCAGATGCCCTTCCAGCCGCAACCCATCTCCGGGAAACATCCACACACACATTCACACACACACTCATACACTACGGACAATTTATCCTACCCAATTCACCTGTACCGCATGTCTTTGGACTGTGGGGGAAACCAGAGCACTCGGAGAAAACCCTCGCGAACGCAGGGAGAACATGCAAACTCCTCAGAGAAATGGCAACTGAGCCGAGGCTCGAACCAGCGGCCCAGCGACCTTCTTGCTGTGAAGCGACAGCACTACTTCACACTGCGCCACTGCTTTGCCCTAATACAATGTTTTATTAAAAAGTTTAAGAAGACAGATTTTTAATTCACAAAATGTACTAATAATTTAGTAGTTTAATCGGTCCCACTTTATATTAAGTGTCCCTAACTACTATGTACTTACATCAAAAAATAAATACAATGTACTTACTGTGTTTATAATGTATTTGAGAACAATTGTGGTGCTTTTGAGTTGGGATAGAGGTTGGGTTATGGACAGGTTTGGTGGTATGGGTAGGTTTAAGGATGGGTTAAGGTGTAAGGGATGGTCAACAGTGTATTTACAAATGTAATTACAAAAGTTAATTACAGATGTAATTACATACATGTATTTAATCAAGCATAAGTACACAGTAAATACTTGTATTTACACAATAAGTACATTGTAACAAACTATTAATTCCTATGTAAGTACATATTAGTTAAGGCCACTTAATATAAAGTGGGACCGTTTAATCAAACTCAGGCTTTTTTTTTTCTTCTGTCGAACATTACACATTTTTTGCCTAAAACTTGTTCCTTTGTGATTCAAGAAAAGTCATTAATTTAAGAGTCATAATATAAATCAATAAATCAGGCTGACTAAAATTAGTGTTTGTGGCTACTGTTAATATACTGTGGTTACTTATGAATAGGTCCAGACAGAATCTGCGGACGTTTTTTGCGATTTCTGCTGAGAATTTTGGTAAAAATCTTCGGATTTCTGTGGAATTATTTTGGGAGTATCTTAACTAAAACCTTAACATGTGAAAAAAAAAATTATATTTATTTAATTTTTAAATATAATTTATTAATTTAAGTATATTATTTAAATTAATATATATTAATTTAAATGTATATTAATTCTATAATAAATAGATAATAAATAGTATTCTGTAATAAATAATAATAAATAGATCTATAATAAATATATATTATAAATCTAATTAATATATATTATTAATTAATTTATATATAATTTATTTAAATTTATATTTTATTTAATGTTTAAAATGCAAATGAAATTAGATTTACTTTATTTGGTAAACAAAGCAAGTTTTTTATATAATGTATCTACTAAAAGACAGCAAATAATACTTTACAAACTGTATTGTACATAAATCAAATGAACATTTTCACATTAGTCAATAATATTACTGTGATTGATTTAAAAACTGAATAAATATAGATATTACACAGATTTACTCAAGGAAATAAACAGAATTAAGGGTGCAGTATGTGATCTGCCAAAATGCTAACTGCTTAGCATAATATCTTTGGATGGCGGGTAGGGACTGTGATTCAAAGCCACACCCCCTGAAATAGCGAGCGCGCGCACCGCGTCACAACAGCAGACAGACAACCCACTAGTTCATGTCATTCGCCAGTTAGTTAGTGCCAGCGCCATTCAGGAATTACATTTATTACTTAGCCACACTTACATGCTATTTCAGAGCGAATATTCAGAGTAGCATGGTAAACAGTATAGGAAGGCTGTCATTGTTCAAAAATGTGAATATAAAAGCAACTTCAGCTCAATAAAGCAGGTTAGGCGGAATAGAGTTATTTACTGATGTTTTGTTGTTAAACTAAATATAAATCTACATTATCAATGCTGTAAAAGGACCTTATGAAACTGAAAATAATCACATCGGGAGATTTCAGTGGCTGAACAACACGTCTGGGCATATTAGTCATTCATAACAGAACACAATCTAACATAAGCTTAGCCTGACTAAAATAGTTTAAAACAGAACATTACCTGTCTAACAGTAATACTTCAGCCATGGTGTCGTCCTTCCTCTAGCGTGCTAAAGTTACTCCAATATTGATTCAGGTTTTTAAAAGTTTCAATTCAGCATTTGATTTTTTCCGGTCTGTGTATGTCACCGCGCGGCGCTTATGCAGACGGGCACACGCGAATGGCGGATCTGCATGAACAGATGCGCAGAAGTCCGAATCTACATTTGCTGACAGACAGTCTAAGCTGCTTATCGGAATTATGGGAGATGTCGGTCCGACAATATTTAGTTGGATGAACATTTTTTAGTTTTATGCATTACCCAGAATATAAAAATACATATAAACACATTTAGATCATTTACTTGTATCATTACTATTGGATTGTGAAGAGACTTTCAACCAGCACAACAAAAAATGTTTCTGAAGACAATCACCTGCTGCACCTTTAATGATGGGCTAAAAATCTGCGAAATTCTGCGCGTGCAGATTCCGTGTGGGCCTACTCGTAATCATTCTGCGTAATAAACTGAACATCATTTTTTACATTATTTATATGAATCACCAAGCACAGTTTGTAAATTAAAACCCTTTCCAGTGTTCTGCTGAAGAAAAATCAAAGTCACCTACATCCTGGATGGCCTGAGGCTATGTAACTATTTTTGGGTGAACTATCCCATTAAGACAGCAAAAATAGGTGTTTGAGGTCGTTCTGCCCATGTGTCCCAATGACAAAGCAAATGTCCCAGCTAAACAAACAGTGCCGCATGCATGCAATGGGAAATGTTCCCGAACTTCACAGTCACAAGTGTTCACAGAGAGAGGTCATGTGACGTGTGTAAATACAAAGAAGGCCCTGGAATTGGAGCAAAAGTCTGTATGCTCCTCTTTGACCCCAAAATTCACACATTTCCCGACCTCCTCTTTACATTCATGATGGTTTTAATTCGCTCTGATTTTATTCATGAAGACGCATGTTTGATATCAGCCCTAAACACTTCTGGGATGCGCAGTAGTCATTAATCAGAAGGCCTGACCGGACGTTTTATTATTGGAAAGCAGTTTTTGAGCTCCTCAGCTTGATGTTGTCTTGTTGCCTGTGTATCTGTGTGTATGCTTGCCTGCGCGTGTGTTTGCGCGCCTGCGTGTGTGCCCTGCGCAGATCGAGATGTTGCAGCTGCAGCGGAGCTACAACTCGCTGTCCAGGCAGATTAACCTGATCTTGTTTAAGAGGCTGTGGTATGTCATGCTGGAGCAGTTCCTGATGAAATATCTCTGGAGCGCATCGGGCCTGGTTATGGTTGCTGTGCCTATCATCACTGCCACCGGATACTCTAAATATGGTATGGATTCAATTATGATTACGATCTGTAGTTCCTGTTCTCATCTTTCTCTGTGTGTGTGTCTGTGACTTCAGACCTTTTGGCTCTGCATTTGTTTTCATCCAAAACATCCTTGATCCTTGTGCTGATGTGGTGTTCTTAAAGGGGACACTTAAGTAGCATTTTATTTTAAAAATTATAATTAAATCGTAAATAACTGTTATCAAATGTTGTTTTTTTTAAATGTAGTTTGATATTTGAATGCAAAGCTGAATTTTCAGCATCATCCCTCCAGTCTTGATAGTCACTTCATCCTTAAATAATTGTTTTAATAAGTTTCAATAATATGCTGGTTTGGGCACCTCTCCTGTTCAACCTTTACATGCTCCCTCTGAGCCAAATAATGAGAAAGAACCAAATCTCCTACCACAGCTATGCTGATGACACTCAGATCTACCTAGCCTTACTGCCTAATGACTACAGCCCCATTGACACCCTCTGCCAATGCATTGATGAAATGAGCAATTGGATGTGCCAAAACTTTCTTCAGTTAAACAAAGAGAAAACTGAAATGATTGTGTTTGGAAACAAAGATGAGGTTCTCAAGGTAAATGCGTACCTTGGCACTAAAGGTCAAACGACAAAAAAAATGGTCAAGAATCTTGGTGTGACTCTTGAGTCAGATCTGAGTTTCAACAGTCATGTCAAAGCATCCAGTAAATCAGCATACTATCATCTCAAAAACATAGCAAGAATCAGATGCTTTGTTTCTAGTGAAGATTTAGAAAAACTTGTTCATGCTTTTATCAGCAGCAGGGTGGATTACTGTAATGGACTCCTCACTGGTCTTCCTAAAAAGACAGTCAGACAGTTGCAGCTCATCCAGAACGCTGCAGCCAGAATTCTAACCAGAACCAGAAAATCAGAGCACATCACACCTGTCCTCAGGTCTTTACACTGGTTGCCAGTTACATTCAGAATAGATTTTAAAGTATTATTACTGGTCTATAAATCACTAAATGGCCTAGGACATCAACACATCACAGATATGCTCACTGAATACAAACCTAACAGATCACTCAGATCATTAGGATCATATAAACTAGAAGTTCCAAGAGTTCAGTCAAAGCAGGGTGAATCGGCTTTTAGTCACTATGCCCCTCGCTGCTGGAATCAGCTTCCAGAAATGATCAGATGTGCTCCAACATTAGGCACATTCAAATCAAGACTGAAAACACATCTGTTTAGCTGTGCCTTTACTGAATGAGCACTGTGCTGCGTCCGACAGATTGCACTATCATGTTTTTCTCTTCTTCTTCATTCTTTCATATCACATTTTACCTGTTTTTATGTTTTGTTTTGTTTTTACGCATTTTTATTATTTGTTTTTATTTTTATTTTACTTGTTTCTTTTATTCTTGTTTATGTAAAGCACTTTGAATTGCCATTGTGTATGAAATGTGCTATATAAATAAACTTGCCTTGCCTTGCCTTGCCTTGGTTTGCTGTTCAAGAGACATTTCCTATTAAAATATGGCACATTACATTACATGAAATATATATTTATTTCTACTTTATTTCATAAATTTTTACCTAATATTGTTAAATAATATTTAATAATTGTAATAATTATATTCATTCATTTATTTTTCCTTTGGCTTAGTCCTTTATTTATCAGGGGTTGCCATCCCCTATTCCAGCATCTGTTTTTTTATGCAGCATATGCCCTTCCAGCTGCAACCCAGTACTGGGAAACACCCATACGCACACTTATTTACACACACAACTATAGCGCATGTAGAGGAAACCCACATGAACACAGGAAGAACATGCAAACTCAACACAGAAATGCCAACTGACCCAGTCGGGACTTAAACCAGCAACCTTCGGCCTCCTTCGGTGGTGTTGCTCACTGCAGAAGTTTGGAATTTCTCAACTTTACAAGTGCCATCGGACACGTCAGCTAATCAGATTGCTTTATGCAAATACCCCAGCTTAGATGGTAGCCAATTGCAGACTAATTTCATTGGCTGACGCTACTATGACGATCACGTCAGCCCCAACTTTAGACATGCCGTATGTCAAGTGTTGACGCTGAAGCCCCGTGTGATTGCACGGTTCTTGCTGTGAAGCGACAGTACAAACCACTGAGCTACCGTGCTGCCCACGTAATAATTCTATATTCATTATAAGCTTATTTTATGATTAATTCAATTGTCACTCTTATTTCATTTCTTAAAAACTATTAAACAAATCAGTGAACAAAGTGCTACACAAACCTTTTTACCACCTATTTTTTTTATTTCTGTTCAAGAAAATTTCTTATAATTATCAATCTTCAGTTGTAATGTGTAATATTTGTTTTTATCTTTAATCAAAAGATAGAGCAGCTTTTTTATAGACTTTTACTGTTATATAAAATTTTATGTATTTTTCTTTTTTTTTAGATTTCATGTGTTTCAGCTAAAAAGACTTTAAGCAAGAATACATTAAATTGATGAAAAGAAACAGTGAAGGCATTTAAAATGTAAAAACATAGATTTCGAATAATTTGCATAAACATTTTACATCATTTTATTAAAGAAAATTTATTATTTTAGGCACCATTGACACTGAATGTGTTTTTTCATTGCAATGCACTAGTTTTCAGTTGATAAAGTCAATGTGCTTGACTATTACCCACGCATGAACGCTTTTTTTTTTAAAGAAGAATTGAAATAGCGCTATACAAATAAAGGTGAATTGAATTAAATTAAAATAATTTGACATGCAACGTTGTTCGTCTATGTCAGTTCCAAAGCAGTGAACCAATCAGAAGAACTCAGAGGCAGGGCAAGCTTTTGTTTATAATAGCCAGTTGTCATGTCAACTGTTTTATTTTACGTTAACATGGTGGATAAGGTTATTCAAAAAAAAAAAAAAAAAAAAAAAAAAAATATATATATATATATATATATATATATATATATATATATATATATATATATATATATATGTATATATATATGTGTATCTATATATATGTGTATATATATATGTGTGTGTGTATCAACTGTTTTATTTTACGTTAACATGGTGGATAAGGTTATTAAAAAAAAAAAAAAAAAAATATATATATATATATATATATATATATATATATATATATATATACTGTATATATATATACTGTATATATGTGTATATATATGTGTGTGTGTGTGTATATATATATATATATATATATACATTTTTTTTTTTAAAGCTGCATCTGCTATTTTTAAATTCTGCGTGAATGGCCCCTAACTGCTGTATATTTAGGGCTTGTGTACTGTATACTTATGTTCTCTCCATAGGACACAGGAGAGTTCAGTTTTCTTTAAATGTGAAGTTTAAGTTTTCTCTCATGCTCAGATTCAGAGGATGTGAAACAGGCAGCTCTGGATATGAAGGAGGAGGACCTGGTGAGTGAACGTACACAGGCCTTCACCACTGCGCGCAGCCTCCTGAACGCTGCAGCTGATGCTGTGGAGAGGATCATGGTCTCCTACAAAGAGGTGAGACTAACTTTTCAAAGAGATCTTTTTCATATTTTTTTTAATCTATAAAAGTTCCCAGTATTAAAGTAGGATATGTAAAAATCTTACTAGTGTGTTTGCTTGGTTTGATGAGCTGTGGTGAAAAAAACCCAATCAATTCTGCATCGATTCTGAGATAAAAATATATATATATTGCTATTCTCTGATTCTTCTTATCGATTCTGAGCTTATTTTTTAACAGCAGATGGCGATGTGTGCTTTACAAACAGCCATACTGTGCTTACCTCCAATTTCTTAAAAATACCCCTTGATTCTAGAATAATTATTAATAAAGATAGGAAAAGCAAAGTTAGGTTTAGACAAATTACAGAAGTGTTAATAGTGAGCTGTTTACATCAATCTCATGTTAAAAGCCAACTTACATGATTTTTCCCCTTTAGCATGTCAGTGTACAGTTAAAAACTCTGCTTTTAAAACCAGCCTAGAGTGTTGCCTGCTGTTTAAAAACTAGCCTAGAACGCCCTCTGCTGTTAAAAACTAGTCTAGAACGCCATCTGCTGTTAAAAACTAGCCTGGAGTGCCCTCTCCTGTTCAAATCTAGCCTAGAGCGACATCTGCTGTTAAAAACTAGCCTAGAGCACCCTCTGCTGTTAAAAACTAGCCTAGAGCGCCCTCTGCTGTTAAAAACTAACAACGAGCACCGTCTGCTGTTATAAACTAGCATAGAGCGCAGTCTGTTGTAAAAAACTAGCCTAGAGCGCCTTCTGCTGTTAAATTCTAGCCTAAAGTACCCTCTGCTGTTAAAAACTAGCATAGAGCGTCACCTGCTGTTAAAAACTAGCATACAGTGCCCTCTGCTGTTACATGTGGTCTATTGGACTTTCTGCAGTTAAGGGTTTAAAATAAAATCCATTGTCAATGTTCACAGTATTTGTTTGCATTTTGTTATTGTAATAAGATGTAACATTTATTTATATGAGTCCTTTAAGTAAGATTTGTATATATTGGCCTATACATCAGCAACTGCATTCTAAATATAAAGAGCTATTTGATCATGGAATCATCGAAAATTGTTATCAGTCAAACACCAGAGTTTGTTCAGAAATAGATTGGTAGATTTGACTTGTTTGTTGCACATCAAGGTTTGTATGTCAGCGTTTACACATACACTTTGTTTACACCAGAGTTTGTTTTGATTAAACCTGCCAAGTGTGAACACGCTGCTAAGCCAACCTACAATTTATTTTAGTTTTTTTGTTTGTGATGTTAAGGTGCATATCAATCTGTCATCGATGCATTTTTATCACATACTGTAGAGTCGGAGAACATAAGATCTGTCATCTTTTGTAATGTAAATGCAGCAAACCAAATCACCGTGCATCCAGCTCCAAATAAATAATTCTCTGTCATTTTCTGGCTTGTCATTTCAGTCTAAAACTGTCACTTTGTGTCCACCCCACTGCTCGGCATTGATTACAAATGTTATGTCATGCCAGCAAGCTTGAAAAGATCAGATTTCCCCTAAAAAGAAAACTAGGAATTTTTTGCAACATGAAAACCTTTATGCTTAAATTAAGAAAGCAATAATTGAGCCCTAGTGTAAACAGCCCCCTCCATTCTCTCCTTTTTTACTATTTTTCTTTTTTTATTTATTATTTTTCATTCTTTACTTTTTCTTTGTTGTATGCAGCATCAATTAGGGTTGGGTCGATAGATGATGCCATCGCCGATGGCCGATAGACACCACGATGCTGAGCCAACATTGCGATCCTCTGCCCCGCCCCCGTTGCAAATCCGCTCGCGAAAAATACACTCAGGCCCTGTTTACACTAATAGGTCAGTTTTTAAATGGCATTTTAGAACAAAAACGATCCACATCCACTCTGGCGTTTACAACCGCTGAAAACGTACATCACGTGACCACATACACACACACACACACACAGGCACACGCACTGTCAAGTGCAGGTCCAGGCAGTCAGCGGGCTACTTCAATCTTTCTCTTTCACACTTGTACTTAGTAATTTTAGCGAATACCTCAGATACTGTTGGCTGGTTCCTGTTGGTTGTGCACCTTTTTTACCAACCAAGTTCGTCGACCCCATTATAACGACACTGATCACTCTGCCTATTCATGAATCCCGCGAAAAAAGTGATTGACAGGTGGGAATTATGTGTGTTACTTATCTTTACTCATTTGCGATTTGTATATTTATGGGTAAAACAAACACCATGCGGGTCAGGTAGTTAAAACGGTTGGCTACAAATATTTATTTCACCTCCGTCTATAACAACAATGCCATCGTCCATTGCGATGTTTCATATTAGACATTGTACGATGCTAAATTGGTCGACATCGTCCAACCCTAGCATCAATACAATATTAATATGTATTGTTAAATGATTTGTTACATATTTGTGTAGAAATTGATAAACCAGTATTGAAAACTTTAAATTCTGTTATTATTTACTCAGCGTTTACTTGTCAAAAACCTTGAGGAAATTTCATAATATGATGATGATGATGATGATAATAGTTAAATATGGCAGTTTGTTCATGTTTTAGGTGTCTGAGGTAATCATTTGCTGCTGTTTTATCCGGCTTCTCTTTTGCTTTTTCGCGCTTCACTCTTGCGTTTGTCCCTTTCTGAAAGGATCAGATGTCAGAAACGCTTCAATAATCACACGCACTTTATTAACATGAGCTCAAGAAGTTTGTTATTTCAAATATAGACGCGCGGAGAGCGCACACGAGAAAGTGAAACCGCTCACACTTTTAGACGGGCTCTTAAAACAACAACAGGACACAGCAGAGTTTGTTCTTCTTGGCTTTGTGGCTGTTTATCAAGATGATGACAAGGTTTGTTTGAGCTCTGGTCGACCATGGCTCATTATTATATGTTTATATTATTATGGTGTAATGTCTTGGCTAGGAATTTAAAAATTGAGGTTTCTTTGTTTTCATTCTGCTGCTTCTGCGAGTGACGTATCTCTATAAACCAATAGTGCTCAGCTGCACGTCTTGCTCCGCCTTTTGATACCCTTTTGTCAAGCTAGGTTCTCCTTGAAAAGGATAGCCAAAAAGTAGGTACGGTACAGTTCGCTTGTAAAGTACCCTTTGACAGTGGAAAAAAACGTAAAAGCGTTCCGAACCGAACTGTACTGTACCGTACCACTCAGTAGAAGCGGGCCATTAGTTCCACTGTTTTTTCTACAATAGATGTCAATGCCAACTGAATTACAATATTTTTCAAGATATCTTCTTTTGTGTTTAACGGAAAAAAGGAACTCATTGAAACACTTAAGGCTGCGTAAATATGAAGTAAATTTTCAGGTTCATTTTACATTAACATAACTAATATGTACTTAGACTGATATTAATAATTAATCAATGTTTTTACATTGTACATATGCTTGATTAAATATCTACATTTAATTGTATCTCTAATTAATAATTTCTGTAATTACATTTATAATTACACTATTGACCATCCCTTACATCTTAACCCACCTTTACACCTACCCATACCACCAAACTATCCCACCTCAAGAGCACCAGAAGTGTTTTACAATACATTATGAACACATTAAGTTCATTGTACTGACATGAAAATATAAATACATAGAATACATAAATACACTTAAAATAAAGTGGGACCAATTTTTATTTGTCGATTAGGATATAAAATAAAGAAAGAGAAAAATGTTTTAAAAAATGTGAAAGTGTGTAAAATCTACTCTAAAATCTTCCACACACAGGTCACAGAACTGGCTGGCTATACGGCGCGTGTGTATGAGATGTTCGAGGTGTTTGAGGATGTCCGTGACGGTGTGTATCGTCGTTCCGCCACAGAGGTGAAGCCAGAAGAGACTGGAGCGCCTCAGAATGTTACACATGGCATGAGAGTGGAGGGACCGCTGCAAATCAGAGGTTTCATCACTTTTTGTCATATCAGTTGACATGCACAATGTTGACATGTTCTCACCACGTTTCTAAACATAACACTGGACACGACACGCAATGTTAAAAAGAGTTTTTAATCCTAACCATCTGCGACAGTGTCGTGTGACATTTTTATTTTAGGAATAGTTATTATTTCTTTGACGTTGCTGCAAAACAACAGCATATACTACAATGACAATGATCACCTCAGGTTAGTGTTGTCACAATACTGGAATTTTGGTACCAATGGATGCTGAATTTAAAAAAAGTCAATTTCCCGCTAACATTTAAGCGCTTTAAACAGATACAAAGGCCCAAAGATCAGTCGATTTATCAGCGGATAGCTTGTATGTCAACTCATAGACAGATCAGCTGATTGACACGACTTTGAAAAGCTGCAGTGTCCCTGTATCTGTGCCAGTCACAGTCATTTCTGTTGAGCACGTGAACACAATGGCAAATCAAAGGTGCCATTAAATGACAACTAAGTTTTTTGGATGTTTGAATTGGTATTGTAATGGTGCGCTTACACCAGAGGTGGATAAAGCGTCAAGCGCAAGTGATTTACATGGTAAGCCAATGCAACACGTTAATAGACATCCTGCAGTGCAAATGACGAGTTGAGCATTTTGTACGTAGATGCGCAAATCGCATGAATCGCTCAGGTTGGACAAAAATCAAAACTTTAGTGGACATTTGTGCCACAATAACCAGTCAAGAGCTTGCTCTTGTAGCGGCGTGATTATGACGTAGTGCCGATTGTTGGTGTTTCAAGAGGAAATCCACCTGCCGACAACGGACAATGGCTCATCAAACTAGGCTCGGTCCAGTTGGAAGCACCGCTGAAAGCTTCCATCATCCAGGTAAAGTTTCTGGAGGAGTTGATGAACTCACAGAGCTGGGTGCATCTCTGAAAGGATCTAGTGGACTCAGACATGGCGGCGAACGAATCTACGCTGGTTTTCAAGTTTTCTAAACCACATAAACACAGCTACCCTCTCAATAAAATCCATGTTAGCCCTTTATCAAAGAAGCTAGAGTCAATGGGCAGACGGAAGCCTCACCCATGACACGAATCCATTATGAAGTGAATTTGATGCGTGAATGATGCAAATTTGACCTCCGAATGAATCGAGTAAACTTAAAATCTTCACGCATCTATTTACGCTCGAATACTAATATTTATTCGCACATCTGGTGTGAACACAGCATTGGTGTTTAAGATACCTATTAGCTAGTGTGCTCCAAAACAGTGACAAAATTTGAGTTAAGTACATATAAAACTGACAAAATACAAGCTTAGCAGCTCCGCGTAAATGGAGCAACCATTATGTTCATACTGCAGTTTCTCATCAAATCTTGACCCATCAAATGCTCTCTAGTATCTGACATGCCCTGCCCCTTCAAGATGCTTCTCTTTGCTGTTGTTAAAAAAGGGGAAAAGCTACACTGTCCCACCCTCTCCATGTTTCAATTTAGAATAAAAATGCATATTTCAAAACACTTCCCGGGACCTTTAAGAACTAATTTTTTTATCTGTAGCCAATTTAAATAAAATAATTTGTAAAGGGGATAATAATACTGGTCTTATATATTGTTTTTAAAAAAATGTAAAGTGCTTTTATTCCAACCAAACAAAAAGAAAAAAGACTTTCACCTGAAGAAAAAAAATAATACAGGAAATTCTGGAAAAAAATCCTTGCTCTGTTAAAAATCACTTGAGAAATATTTAAACAAAAATCTAAATTTCACAGGAGAGCGAGTCAATTTCCCCTCAGCTGTATACTGAAACTGTGTAAAATTGCATACTGTCTATAACTTGTGAAAGAAAGTTTTATGAGGTATATTGAGTGCACACAGTATGCTAATCTGATACATTTATGTTTTATTCAGATGATGTACCACCTTTCACAAAATGTCAACATACCCCATATTGCGGTTGCTTGACTTTACCTTCCATTTGTGGTGTGGCAAATGAAAGAGAAGCAAGTTTAAGCTATGATTTTTGTTTGATCTTTTTCTCATTATTTGAGAGAAAACTGTACACAGACTTGGTTTAAAATGCAAAACAGCCATTTTTATTTTTGAAAGCTATATCTAGACGGCACTCGCTGAATTAATTAAGGTCATGTGACTACAGTACAGCGTCCTACAGTTTAAACAGATTACAGATGCATCCCTTATTATTGTTTTGTGCTTTTTAAAAGTTTGATGCTATTAGGTTTTGTTATTATTATCATTACTTTTATAATAATAATATAATTGTTAATATACAGTAATCAGCTTTTGACATGGATAAGCACCATTCATCAAAGTTGTCCTAAAACTATTTAACAATACCATTCTTCCCTTAGGACAATAAACATTTTATACTAATAAAATGTACAGAAATAACATTTTTATACTATATATTATTACAAAAGAAAATGACATTTTATTCACGAAGCACACATTAAACTGTGTCAAGACATTTACACTTCCTATTCATGAAAGTCTATGATAGAGCGCAACATTATATAATTGATAATAATAATAAAATGAGCATATTAGAAAGAAATCATCATTACTACAGGATTATGACACCAAAAAATATTTACTGACATTTTGCACTTGTATCACAGAAACAAATAACTCTTTAAATGGTAAAAAACAGTAACAATATATTTTTTTACAATAAATTGGGTGAATTACATTTATTTTTCATAATTATACGCACGTTTGAACCTCTCCCAAAAACTTTCTTCCTAATTCAAAACACACACACACGATTTTCTCTTTAACACGTTCTTTTTACAGTGAATTTGAAGTATTCTAAATGAGTAATTTGCATAATGCACACCCAAAACACTTCCGTATAAGGGTTTTCCGCAAAACGGCACTTGTCCAGAGCAAGTTATAAGAAGACAAATTATGAGATAAATTAAGACAATTATGACACTGAAACAAAAGAAGAAGAACTTTAACAGAAACGAAGATTTTGATGTTGAATGTGGTACACACTTTCAGTTCTTTTCAGTGCTTGCATCTCGGTCACTTGAGCACCAAAATTTAACCCACAAGCAGCAAAATGAGTAAGAAATCCGACTTCTTTGGAAAATTTCTTTGCTTACGGTAAAAGGCCCAGTGAAGGACCCACGAACGGCCAAAGAATAGATCTGCAACCTATTTGTCAACAATTTAGGTGAATCCACCATGTCTGTGCAAGAAAATCAACTGCTGAAGATCACAATTGATGGCGCTTTTTAGGGGCCGTTCGCATTTTACGACTTCTTTTAGAGTTCAAGTGAAATGGCGTGACTCGCTCGCGGCTTTCAGATGCACACAGTTGAATGAATGCCGATGAATGAACACATCTGGAGCTCATCACGAGTCACGTGACAAAAACTGACTGATCAGCTTTAGCTTGTATGGATTATACACATTTCGTTAGAGTTTCTCAATATGCGTTCTTCAGCGGCCTTGCGTCTTCGTGTTCTCGTGTAACGTTATTATCAACTGCCAAAGTTCACTTCTAAAACTTAAGACTCCAAAAAAAAAGAGGATGCGTGATAGTTCCCGGACGTGTTCTTGATATCGAGGATCCATTGATGCAGACTTGAGCGCAAAACTCGCTTGAGAAGTCCCAGAAGTCGTTGCGGCTGTATATTGAAGATGGGAAGCGCAGCATTTTATAAATAATTTATTATAAAAAGTTCAAAGATATAACTATTCATCTCATGAGTTTCCCTAAATGAGACCGTGAAAGTAAACATCGCCATGAAACTCTTTATAAAGGCATAACACATTAAGGGTGTTTGTTTGCTGAAATTCGTATTAAAATGAGTTTTATTTATGTTGCGCACCGTATATATTTATGAGGTCTTTATGCAAGGTATATATATTAAAAAGGAAAAAAATAGTTGTTGGATGAATGCTGTAATGTTTAAAGAAATTTTCATTAAAAATGCTTGAAGGTCTTGTGACCATCAGGAAGAACCAGGGAAGAATGCAGTCCACAAGACGCGTTCTGTGTTCCCAAGTTGGTTCTTCCGAGACAATTTGGCAAGACCGGTCTCCACAAGAACAAGAGTCCGTTTTCTCTGTGTTCTTAGAATTGAGAAACAGCCATTATCTCAGACAAACACAGAACACCCAAACACTGCAGTGCTTTGTAATTTTGTATCAGAGCTGCAGCAATGCTTTGTCAGCTTGTCATCGTCTGAGAAAACGGTTGCTTAGCAATCTAGCCGAGCAACCCCTCATCCCCGGTCCGTGGTAAAATTGTCAAGCGTTGATCGGTCCACGGTGATAACAAGGTTTAGGATCACTGCTGTAAACAACATATCTAATCATATGGAGGGTTCCTAATTCATGTTCATAAGGCCCCAGGCATACAGGATTATTGTGTGTATGTGGTATAAATTGGTACAAAACTTTTAAAGTATCCTGATTTATTTGTGAGATCCATTGTTTAAATTACAGTTAAATATAGTCTTGTAACATTTGCGTGTTTTATCTTTTAGGTCAGGTGATTGATGTGGAGCAGGGCATCAAATGTGAAAACCTGCCCATAATAACTCCTACAGGAGACGTGGTGGTTTCCAGCCTGAACATGCAGGTAAATTTCCCTTCTTTAACCCATCCTTGAGTCATTTTAATATATAATCAAATTTTACCAGTGGAGAATTGGCATGCGGGTGTAGTAGGCATTGCATACTTGTTACATCCAACTAAAACCACTCTCCATTTTCCAGCTAAGGAGCCTGTATATTAAATTATTTGGTAGTGTGTGCTGCAATATCTTGCTCTCATGCAGAGTAAACGAGTCGGTGGTCTGATGCAACACGCTGTTCTTCAGCTGATTTATGTGCATATGAAGTGCGAACATGTCAAAGTGGCTGTTATCTGTTCTTATTTCCCTGGCAAAGTTCTCGAGCACTTGACTGATAATACAGCTTTGCTAATCGCTGTATGACCTTTGACAGTTTAAAGCAGGATTAGGTGGAGATGTATTATGAAACCCTGCAGAGAAATTGCGTTTATATGTTATGCATTTTTTCTCGTTCGAATTGTAGTGTCAATTTTTTTAAAAATTGCATTACCTGTTATCTTGCATTAGCTTATCTTTATTGAATATTTGAATGAGTTTCTCCACCTGTGCTTTGGTGAGAGATATAGTCAATTATTGTGTTTGACTCTAAACTCATGTTGGCGGGATTTCAAGCCGTAAATTTGAAAGCTAGCAAGATAAGTGCTGGGAAGTATTATTGGAGATTTTCCTTTGATATGTTCTCCGCTCTGCTGTTTATTATGCACATGTTTTAGATAAAGCCTTCAGAGGCGATACTGTTCATTGATTGTTGATAGACATAAACATGTGGGTGTTTTTTTAAGCATCAAGATTTAAAGTTAGAATTAAAAAAAAAAACTCTATATTTGATGCTTTTAACCGTTTTGTAGAGATGTGTATATTGTCATTGCAAAATATAAATATTAAAATAACAAATTAATGCTAAAATTTGATCTCTTTTGTGTAAAAACTTGTATTTTAACATCTTTTCCCTCATTTGCACTTAAATGTTTTCTTCAGTTAGGATAACTAAAGAGATGCACAATAAAAGCTTTAAATCCCGGACGAGCCCCCAACTGATTTTACAACCTCAAGTGTCTAGGGCTGAGGTTGAACGTAAGTTAATGAAAATAAATAAATAAACAGTTAGCAGGTTATGATTTTAATGACCTTTAGATTCTTTTATTGTGAGAAAAGGGGGAAAAGTTTGTATTTACAGAAAACAAAGAATAGGAGCTCAAACAAAATAGATCTAGGGCTGAGGAAGGCCGAAATAATAAACAAAACATTTACTAACTCCACCCCGAAAATAACTTGCCCAATAGAATTAAAAGAAATACAGAAAATAAATTACAAATACTTCCCTTACGTCTTAACTAAATCAAGAAACAGAAGAAAAAGTCAGTAAAAAAATTGGTACTCAGCCCCTACGGTGCTCAGTTTACAGCTTTAGGACAATATATTGGTTTTACAGTCACAACAAGGAAGGGAGAGAAGAAAGATGAAGAGCACCTTCAAGTTCACAACTTTGCACAGCTAGAACACTACAACAGGAACAGGTTATTGAATAAGAATGAAGTATTCCTGGATAAAGCTGTCCATCTCCCCCCCCCCCCGCGATCTGACTCTGTCGTCTCCTTTTTAAAAATGCTCTTTGCATTTGATTTTGAGTATCTACCGATACTGAAACTAAATCTGATACTTCTATAGTAAATATAAAAAAGAATAAAGAAGAGTGAAGAAACCAATCCAGGACATTCCTTATTTTTTATTTAATTCAACTCATTTTAACATTCAACAACTCTGTTAACGACAAGAGAACTTATGTGAGCTTGAACAATCAAGTAACAAATAACATCAATTCTTCACTTTTGGACTTTAGTGCAACAGTAAATATAAAGAAAACTCTAATATGAAAACAAATAGCATTTCAACTTAAAAATACCCGGCAGGCATGTAAGCAAAAAATAAAAGTGCCAAAATGTTTGCAAAACCAGTAATGTGCTTTTAGAAACTGCACTCCTAACTCTTGAGCACTCCTAAGTCTTTTCATCAGAGTAGTAATCTTCACAGAAGGAAATGTCTGTTTATTCTTAATGAAAACTACTATGTGTACCTTGTCAGGTTTGAGTCTGTTGCTGTTCTCATCTAGGACGTTTGCAACGGCCCAAACAAGCTGTTTCTATGTTTTACTTTGCCGGCGTTTAACCAATACCGTTTCTGCAACAAAGTGATGTCATGACGCACATGTTGCTGTTTTTCAATTCCGATTGAGTCTGAAACCACTTGATTGAATCTAAACATCCCTAGAAAATAGTATTTATTTTTTATATATAATTTTTAATATTAGCAAAATATTTGATAATATATTAATGGAAAATATATTTTTATTCAACTGAAAAAAATCACAAACTGCAAAATAATTTATGTGCTTTTTAAAAATAAAATATAAATTTTTATTTTATTTATATTTTAATGAATTCTATGCAGTAAAAGACATGCAAACACTGCTAAATATTTAGCGATAAGCTCTACTCACTGGCTTCTCCCCTGTACAATTTCACATACAGTAAGAAATCGAGCTCTTTTCCACATTCATTCATTCATTTTCTTGACGGTTTAGTCCCTTTATTAATTACCACAGCGTAATGACCCGCCAACTTATCCAGCAAGTTTTTATGAAGCGGATGCCCTTCCAGCCGCAACCCATCTCTGGGAAACATCCACACACACATTCACACACACACACTCATACACTACGGACAATTTAGCCTACCCAATTCACCTGTATCGCATGTCTTTGGACTCTGGGGGAAACCGGAGCACCCGGAGGAAACCCACGCGAAGGCAGGGAGAACATGCAAACTCCACACAGAAAAGCCAGCTGAGCCGAGGTTCAAACCAGCGACCTTCTTGCTGTAAGGCGACAGCACAATCTACTGCGACACTGCCTCGACTCTCTTTTCCACAAATTGAACCTAAAATTCATGTAGTTTTTGGTATTTGATTTATAAGACATCTATAGCTCCACCCTCTTTTAAAAAATCACAGTCTCATTTAAATTTAAAGCGACAGTCACCAAAATGGCACAATTAGGATCAAAGCCTAAAAGAGGCAATTTCAAAGAATCAAGGGCGTCACACACTGGATGCGCCGCTCAGTTCCGCAACACGGCACGAACATGACAGTTTAAAGTATCGCACACCAGACCCGCACATTCGCATGCTATTTAAAATGAAATTTCAGATGGCGCTCTGTGGCACGGCAGAAATAATAATAGTGTCCTGAGTAGTTGCTGGGCGCCACAGTCAGCCGCTGGTTTGTGTACCCTGATAGAAACCTATATTCAGAATTCTGAAATGCATGGCGCGACAATGCGAGTCGCCGAGCAGCGCTTCGGGTGTGTGACCCCCTTTATAAACATTGTGTAAGTGAAGAGCACAATGTAATACGGTTGCACGATATTGGAAAAATTTAACCTTGTGATATTTTTTTTTTTGCAATATATATTGCGATATGATTACAATTTCACGAGATGACTTAATATCTCTCTTTAGGAAGAATTTATTATGTTAGATCAATTGGGATGATTCTGCTGTGGGAGAGGTCATCTCTATAATATCTAATAAACAATCTTTCAAATTTTTGGGGTCGCCCTGCTCATTTTTACTGTGGTCTGTGCTACTTGCAGCGCATTACTGTATTTGCATGTGTTGTAGGTATTTACATGCACATCTGTAAATGCAATCAAGAAAAAGATTCAATTGAAATTAAGTGTTTTATCAGATGTAACCTTATTCAAGTTCAGTAACTGAATGATAAAATAAATAATAATTAAATAAAATGAATCATGGTTAAGGTCACAAATGGGACAATTTCTTATACATGAATGCTTTTAAAATCATTATAAAATAACAGGAATCAAAACACATGCAAATGATAAATTAGAATACAAACCCAACATTGCATATTCGGCCACGTGACCATTGTGAATGATCCCATTGCGATATCGATGCTGAAACTATATATTGTGCAGCCCTACAATGTAATTGTGCATCCACCTGTTGTGAATCCGAGAACATTTCACATCATTATTCAATTCATACTCGCTTTCAGATTTTTGCTGGTTTATTATACTATTTTACTAAGACTTCTGCAATGATGTTAATCTCAGATGCGCTAGTTGTGAATGCAGTGCATGCTTTCTGCACCAAACCTCTCTGAAATGCATTTCTTGGGTCTGGATTGAGTATCTGCTCCCTTATGATTAATTCATGTTTCCTGCTAAATTCTGAGAAATGGGTCATGAGTAGCGCAGCGTGACCCCCTCTGGTTTGCCCCGGACAATGTGCTGATTATATTCCGCTCACCCGTTGCTGTGCTCTTAGGGTTTCCACAACAGCGCCTCGATTTGCAGGGGCGGCGTGGTGCTAATACCCTCTCATGACCCTGATGTCGCAGTCATGCGGTGCGCTCATGACACAATGCACTTTACCCACATTGCTTTCCCAGAGATTTTTTTGCTGCCAAAAACAGACCTGGAGGAGGAAAGAGATGATGTGAAGGAAAAATAAATTAATACCTTTCATAAATACCAAATAGATCAGATTTTTTTTTAAGATATGGTGGAAACAGAGAACAAAGAAAACAATTAACATAGCTGCTGCTGATAATGTATTTGAACATTATCCGGTACACTGGTAAAATCAACATTATATAGGTTAGAGTAGTTTTACTGGCACTAAACATTTTTGTTTTCATGTGTTCGCTATGAGAGAAAAAACACATCAAATGCATGTCGCAATCATAACTCTAAAATGCGATAAGATTATTTAAATGATGTGCACGCTTTCGGTTTCATTTTCACTAAGTGCTGTTCATACTTCGCGCGCGGCACCCAAACGATCACTCTGTGCCACAAACTAAATGTCATTTACAACTTTAATACCTGTTATTCACAACCTGTGCAGGTTCTGTTCACTAAAGTAGGCACGCGTGTGTCTATCATCAAGTAGGGCGCGTCCGCTCTCTCTGTGATAACAGCTCACGGTCAGCAGCTCACGTCTCGTGTGACTTCCCGGCCACGAATACAGCGTTATAAGAAGACAAAAATTAAATTTTTAGGTGAATTGCACCTTATAAATTCAGTATGTGACTCTTTTAGCACCATTTGGAGGTGTCCATGTCGCTGAGCAATGTATGTGAATGTGAAACAATGAAAAGACTCGTGCTGCCGCCCTTGCTTTTCTCCTGATCTTGAAAATATGATTTACAGAATCGTAGAAATACTAGATTAAGATTGTCTAGGGCAGGGGTGTCCAAACTCGGTCCTGGAGGGCCGGTGTCCTACATAGTTTAGCTCCAACTTCCTTCAACACACCTCCCTGGAAGTTTCTAGTATACCTAGAAAGAGCTTGATTAGCTGGTTCAGTTGTGTTTAATTGAGGTTACAACTAAAATATGCAGGACACCGGCCCAGGACCGAGTTTGGACACCCTTGATCTAGGGGGTCGAATTGAGGTTGCGGTCATTTTTTTGATTAAGTATCTTTTTTAAGATTGTCATCTCACTCTGTTGCTAAATCTGCACTGCCAGACATAATTCAAATTGGGCTAATATTTCTCGTTCAACTTGTAGAAATATCATAATCACAAATGGCCTTTTTAAGATCGCAATCTCGCTGTTGTAAAACCTGTACTTTCACTGCCAAACATACTTTAAAATAGCCTGATGTCACTCAACCAGCTTGTATACTTAGGGCGTACTCGCACTATGCTATCCGAACCGTGGCCAGGCCCATTTCCCGGATCGTTTGAGAAGTGTGAGTGCGCTGAATCGGGCTCAGGCACGGTTCACTTGGCCGGCCCTGGCCCGGTTGGAAGAGGTGGGCTTGAGCGCGGTTCACTTGGGCGAAAGCGAGACGAGACTTTTAAGGGACTGTTTCATATGGATTTATTAATCATTCTTACTGTTCAATGAACGCAAACTGCCGTAGTTTATTAAATACGCAAACCCCTCACTGCACGACAGCTGCACCTTCAGCAAACCTCCTCATTCCTGCAGCACAAGGGTTTTATGATTGTTTATGAGCGCCAAAAGTGGCGGATCTGTTTGCCGAAATATTTGAATGCATGTCACTGCATATCACGATATAACTAGAGAAATATCCACTGTGCTGAAGGGAGAGCGCTTACTGAACAGCGGAGCATCGATGACGTCAGCGTGCCCAGGCCCAATTGTAATGTGAGTGCGGGCCGTCGGGGGAGACGGAAGGGGGGACAAGCATGCTTTGGCCCGGTTTGAATCTACTGTACATAGTGTGAGTACGGCCTTAGAAATGTACTAATTCCAGATTTTATTTCCCCGATGATTCATATCGGTTTGGTGTTGTGAGTTTATTTCTTCTGTTCAACACAAAGTTGGAAAAACTGCCATTGACTTCTATGGTGTTTTTTTTAGTTCTTACTAGTTACTATGTCTGCAGTTATTTCAGTCCAGTGCCGCAATGTTAACCAGTTGTAGTACCTCCAATATAAACCTAAAATAGCTTCAAATGTCCTTTTTAAGATCGTCATCTCGCTCTGTTGTTAAATCTGCACTTTCAATGCCAGACATCCTTCAAAATAGGCTGCTGTTGCTCGAAATATCATTATCACGGCTTCCAGATGTTATGTCCCAGATGATTCCTATTGGTTTGGTGTTGTGTCGAAGGTCTTTTAATAGTAATTGTCGCATTGGCAGGATGTGGAGCTGCTGTGTTTATGTGTGTCTGCTGAATGGATGGCTTTAGCTTAATGACAGGGTACAGCGATGTGTTTTTCTCAGTGCGCTGTGCAGCAGAGAGCGGCCTTTGAAAACCATCAAGCGCTTCCCATCGCAGTGGCTCCTTTTAACCCTGTGGCTTTGCTGAATTTGTAAACACATTTAGCTGTTTCCCGTGGTTTGCCCCCGTGTGCCATCTTTTTCTCGGTCTCTGCGGGGGTGTTATGGGATCCGCTGCATGTATGTTCAAGTGTCTTTAGTAATGTTGGGTCTTTTTCTATATCTAGGTTGATGAAGGAATGCATCTGCTGATCACGGGCCCTAATGGTTGTGGAAAAAGCTCTCTGTTCAGGATCCTGAGTGGACTCTGGCCGGTCTACAGCGGCGTGCTCTACAAACCCTCACCCGATCACATGTTTTACATACCTCAAAGGTACTAGCGCTACAAGTAGACTGCATGCTTTGTATGTGTGTGTGTGTGTGGATGTTTCCCAGAGATGGGTTGCGGCTGGAAGGGCATCCGCTGCGTAAAAACGTGCTGGATAAGTTGGCAGTTCATTACGCTGTGGCGACCACAGATTAATGAAGGGACTAGGTCAACAAGAAAATGAATGAATGTATGTATAAACCCAGTACCTTACATTTATTGCAAAAAAACAACAACAAAAAATTACATTGAAATAATATCAGTGGGAAAGCATGAACATAATTACAAAACAAACCAATTTGTCGCCTATGCACGTCTGCCTTATTTTTTGTCCCTGCATTCTAATTTGTGGCAAACTAATCTTGCATACAGAATATATTACGGTGTACACCAATAATTAGCATAAGATCGTACAAGGCTATTGTTTCCTCTTTGTTCGGGTTCAGGGCCCAGCAATGAGACTCAGTTTGCTAGATTTTGTTTAAGAATTAAGATCAATTAGAAGGCAGAGACGTGGGTGTGCGTGCATGTGTTTATTTCCATTTCCCTCGCCGTGCCAGGTTAATTAGCGCTGATGAGTGTGCTGATTAAAAAGAGGCGCACAATCCAAAAGCAGTCAGCACATATGGTGCTCCTGTGACTGCCTTACATGTCGGCTTCATTACAAACACAACAGGAGTACAGCAGCGCTTCGTGTTCATGATCACACAACGGGACGTGTCCAACGCCATTTACAACCAGCAGCTGCTTGTCATTTGGCCCACTTGCAGTTCACTGATATATCACGACTGTTAAGGAGAAGAGAAAAAATAAGACAATGACTGGTTTTTAGAGGAGGATACATATTAAAATGGGAGAATTTTACATATTAAAACTTACAGTGCTTGATATATATGAGTACTATAACATGAATTTATTTTTAGGTTAATTCTTTTGCTTCAGGGTTTTAGTAGGACTAATCGAGGAACAAATTATTGATTTCATAATTAATTATTAAAGTATAACATTAATTAAAACAAGGATATGCATTAATAAGACAGCATATCCTATTTCTAAATTCAGTTCTAATTTCCAGCAAACGAATAGATGAACAATAATAATGAAGTGTGTTATATCCTAATACACATGCTGTGCCCATATGGTCTGAAACCAGACAGGTGTGCAAATCTAAGCTTGTTTTTAATAAAACAAATATAAATATGGATATAATAAATAATACTGCTAATTAAGCAAATTGTTATGAATGAACTGAAAAAGCCTCCCGAGATGAAGGCATGAAGTCAGTTTTTTTTTTTTTTATGTAGGCTAGAAAATATATATATATTTTTTAAATATTTTAATGCTTTATATTTATATCCTATATATATCCTTAATATTTTAATTATTTTTCATTTGTGAAGATATTTGCGTATTGCTTTACATCTTGTGTGTACTAAGCAGTGTGTACAACGCACAACTAACGCACTCTGCGCTCGACTTTAGACCAGTTTTGTTTTGGTCTATTGAAAAATCTATTATAGTTTCTCAAAATAGCAGTGCGCCTCAGAACGCCTTCCTTTTTAGACCACAACGCCTATGGGCGCACATATGAGCGCAGATTCCTTTGCTATTTAAACAGCGTGGCGGAAAATGTCAAAACGACTCTTGCCCCAAGCTGAAACTAGCAAACAACAATTGCCTTGCGCCTTGTGCCACATTGTGCCGGTTGTATGATAATCTTCTAAGCAAGGGCTTATTATACGGTCCTGGCGCCGTCTTTGGCTAATGGACGCAGACGCTCTGTCTCTCAGAAATTATAAATATTTAAAATGGGCACTCTCCTTATAAATAAACTGCATAATTGCAATCTAAATAACTACATTTTCGACTAAAAACCCTCAAAATTACATTGTGTTGTCCAGTGGCTGCAATATTTGTCAAAATGTAATGAGTTTATTAATCTGCTGTCACTCTATGCGGAGTAATACACAAGGGTGAAGAGGTAATACGAGTGCGATCAGATTCAGCCAATCAGATTCGAGAATCAGATAGAACTTTTGTATGCATGTTTAAATGTGTGTGTGTGTGTATAACTTTGTTGAAATGTTGTTGTTTGTGATTTGTTTTGCAATATTTCACTTGAATTTAATTGTATTATCGTTCTATTTATGAATATGTTTGGTGACTAACATATTATTTAAATAAAGATATCTGTTAAATAAATCTGTTTTATTTAAATGCACCAAAATATATGACCTATGTTCACTGAGAAATTGATAAAAATATTTATTTTCAAAATCATGTATGTGTATGGTGAAGTGCATATGGTGAGAATTGCTTCCCCCCTGTGTTTTCCCTTAATCCTCTAATAATGAGGTCATCATGTTTCATTAGCACAAGGACTGGGTGATTAAAATAGAAGAATCCAGAATTTTTATTTTGTCTGGTTTTTTTCCTCTTTAGGCCTTATATGTCGGTGGGAACGCTGCGAGATCAAGTGATTTATCCTCATTCTGTTCAGGAGATGCAGGAGAAGGGCATTACTGACCGGCAGCTGGAGGAAATCCTGCAAACCGTGAGCCTCCGTTATATCCTGGAGAGAGAGGGAGGTGAGAGATCACACTGCAAAATACAGTATATAGGGCAAACATAAGATGTCCTGCTTTGGTGTCCATATTCAATTTACAGAAGTGATTTAATATTGCATTCAGCATGACTGATATATTTATGTAGAAATTAAACATGCTTATTTTGACCTGCGCTCATTGAGACATGTGAAAGAGGAGATGATCATCATATCACAACTGGATACCAAAGATTTGTGGTTTGAAGGATAGTGGCAAAAATAGAAAAAATAAAAATGACATTTAATTCATATTTTGGTGCTGCACTGTGATTCTTAGAGTACTTTAATATGTCATCAAATGGCCTTTGTGTTTTCTTTTTCTTTTTTTTGTAAATAATGACAAAAATGTATGATAGTCGTTAAATTTTTCTCAGAAATTAACCAAAAAATTATCATTAATCATATTAAACTTTTATTGGTTTGTTTGTTTATCTGTAGTTCTTGAAAATTCCATTTTCTCATATTTAAAGTTTGGTGTCAGTAAAGTCATTATATACAATTACCAGCCACTTTATTAGGTATACCTGTCGAACTTCTTGTTAACGCAAATTTCTTATCAGCCAATCACATGGCAGCAACTCATACCATTTAAACATGTAGACATGGTCAAGACAATCTGCTGCTGTTCAAACCGAGCATAAGAATGAGGAAGAAAGGTGATTTAGGTTACTTTGAATGTGGCAGGTTTGTTGGTGCCAGATGGGTTGGTCTGAGTATTTCGGAAACTGCTGATCTACTGGGATTTTCATGCACAACCATCTCTAGGGTTTACAAAGAATGGTTTGAAAAAGATCAAATATCCAGTGAGCGGCAATTCTATGGCCGCAAATGCATTGTTGATGCCAGAGGTCAGAGGAGAATAGCCAGACTAATTCCAGCTAAAAGAAAGGCAACAGTAACTCAAATACTCATTCGTTATATATATAAGGTCTGCAGAAGAGCATATCTGAATGCACAACACGTCCAACTTTGAGGCAGATGGGCTACAGCAGCAGAAGACCACACCCCGTGCCACTCCTGTCATCTAAGAACAGGAAACTGAGGCTACAATTCACACAGGCTCACCAAAATTGGACAATAGAAGATTGGAAAAAGCAATGCCTGGTCTAATGAGTCTCGATTCTTCTGCAACATAAAGGTGGTATGGTCAGAATTTAGCGTTAACAACATGACAGCATGGATCCATCCTGCCTTGTATCGACGGTTCAGGCTGGTTGTGGTGGTGTAATGGTGTGGGGATGTTTTCTTGGCACACTTTGGGCCCATTATTACCAATTGAGCATCAAGTCAATGCCACAGCCTACCTGAGTATTGTTGCTGACCATGTCCATCCCTTTATGACCACAGTGTAACTAACTTCTGTTGGCTACTTCCAGCAGGATAATACGCCATGTCACAAAGCGTGAATCATCTCAGACTGGTTTCTTGAACATGACAATGAGTTCACTGCACTCAAATGGCCTCCACAGTCACCAACTCTCAATCCAATAGAGCACCTTTGCGATGTGGTGGACGGGAGATTCACATCATGGATGTGCAGCCGACAAATCTGCAGGGTGATGCTATCATGTCCATATAGACCAAAATCTCTGTGGAATATTTCCAGTACCTTGTTGAATCTATTCCACGAAGGATTAAGGCAGTTCTGAAGGCAAACGGGGGCCCAACCCGTTACTAGTAAGGTGTACCTAATATAGTGGCCGGTCAGTGTAGATTCAATGTAAATTGATTTGATGTTTAAAACTGATCAATGATACTACAGTGTTCTCTAGGGTTTTTTTCCAGCTGTGGCGGCAGGCCGTTTTTACACAGATCTACCAACTACCTGTGGCGTTATTTCAATGACAAATGTTGCGAGCGCAGTATTACAAGTCGAGATCACATTTATGTAATAGCCTTTGAGCATGCTAATCTCTTTGATTGCGCGCCAATTTCCTCTGCTCGTGCACAAAACTTCTTGCACGCCCCCTCAAATATACACTGCTCAAGCGCAGATCTTCTTGTGCGCTCTCAAATAAACGCTGCTGAAGTGCGATTTAGTGCGTTTATGTAACGAGTATGTCTCCAACATTTATAAGATTTGCTAGGTATACTTATGAATGTCTCCAATAAACCAACAGAACGGCATTAATGTGTCATGAAGTAAAGTGAAACGGCTATACGTCGTGTTTGCTGGCCTCACGCACACCTGTCAGTTAGTAAGCACGTCAGTCAGTCGGCACGTCAGTCAGTCGGCACGTAATCTTAAAGGGTTTAACAAATAAGACACAGCACTACTATGGTTACAGAAAAGTTTGCGCTGTTATAATTCACTTACCTTTTAATACGTTTTGGTGCGATTATCACCCGCTATTAAAAAAACACGTCTGAATGTTTGAATGAGAAGTTGTAATGTAGCTGTGGCGGGATCAATGTTGCCCTGGCCTCCGCCATGGAAGTTTGAATGTAGCGGAAACCATGTACTAGATATAAGCTTGATTACAAATTATTTATTGAAAGTTTATAAATATTTCATAATACTACTGTTGCAATTTTTTTTAATTAAATGCATCTTTCAAACATTATCTAATGTATTACATTTTCATCTAATTACATGAAATCACATTTTCATCTAATTCCTGTTTATGAACGTCTACTTTTATTTTACCAGCGTAAAATGTTTTTTAATTGTTAAAAAAAAAAATGTACAAATTATTTAAAAAGTATTTTTGGAAAATTATTAAACATTATTTCATAACACTACTGTTTTTGCAAATGTTTTGGTAAAATGCACACAATCTAATTTCACACAATCTGATTCATGCGTGTCACTAAAAAAAGCAAGCGCTGCACATTTACTGTACTTGATGTAATGTGTTGAACTAACAGATTTTTTAGATCAAATATTAATAACATAATTAATAATGCATGTTTTAATGATTTAGGAATACTGAATAAGCAAAGCTGTATTAGTAGTAAACAAAATTATAATTTGTACTATATAAACATTTTTAATATAATTAAGATGATATTTTCAGGCTGGGATGCAGTGAGCGACTGGAAGGATGTGTTGTCTGGAGGAGAGAAGCAGCGGATGGGCATGGCAAGGATGTTTTACCATAAGTACGTCACCAATACTTACATTTTGATTAATTAAATAATTTAATTTAGTCCTAAGTAAATAATAAATATGTGATCTGTTTTACTGACTGTTTGTTTTAAATTATGTATGGAATGTATGTTATGGAAGGTATGTATATATTCCTCTTAAAGGAAAAACTGCTTTTGCAACTTTTTTTTCTTACTGACTGTTTTTTTTTTTGTTTTGTTTCTAGCCCAAATATCTAAATATTCCCTAAACCAGGAAGCATTTGTAAAAGTAAATAAATAAATACATAAATATTATTAATATAAATGTAATACATACACATATTTATTTATTCATTCATTCAATTTCTTGTCGGCTTAGTCCCTTTATTAATTTGGGGTCGCCACAGCGGAATGAACCGCCAACTTATCCAGCAAGTTTTTACGCAGCGAATGCCCTTCCAGCCGCAACCCATCTCTGGGTAACATCCGCACACACATTCACACACACACTCACACACTACAGACAATTTAGCCTACCCAATTCACCTGTACCGCATGTTTTTGGACTGTGGGGGAAACCGGAGCACCCGGAGGAAACCCACGTGAAGGCAGGGAGAACATGCAAACTCCACACAGAAACGCCAACTGAGCCGAGGTTCGAACCAGCGACCCAGCTACCTTCTTGCTGTGAGGCGACAGCACTACCTTCTGCGCAACTGCCTCGCCCTATTGCAAATATTATAATATTATATTTATATATTCATTTATTTGAAGAGTACAGATGCAAAAGCCGCTAAACGCCACTTCCGCCAAAAATGAGCTAATGCTACACAATCTCACGGCAATTCGTATCTTTTTTATTTAGTGGCTAATTTGTATAAATTCGTACGATCTAATATGTACATTTTAGTACGATTTGCTCATCCCCCAATGACAGTTGGGTTTAGGGGTGGGGTTAGGTGCCACGCCTTCTTTTTAAAATCGTACAATTTTATACGACTGAACTTGTACGAATTCATACGAATTAGCCACTAAACTGGCAAAATGTAAAATACTTACGTTTTCTCTTGAGATCAGGCTGGCTAATGATATTTAGCGAATGCTTTAAGCACATACTACATGTTTAACAAATATTTTTGCTTCAAAAAAATGCTTTCCATTCAGAAATAGCAGTTTGTATGCAAAAGCCTCTAAACGCCACTTGCCTTTGGCAGCAAAAGCCGAAATATCAAGTCAAATATATAGTAAATATATAGTCAAAAATTACAAAAAAGCTTTTTTAAAGGAAAAACTAATTTTATTAATTACTAATAAATAAAATAAATAATAAATAAATAAAATAACAATAAAAATGTCTCTCTCTTATCTCCATAGTACCGGAAAACTTTTCAAGAATTGTAAAAATATAGTAAAATGAAAATAAATGTAAAAAAAATGTCTTGTATTGTATACATAAATAAATAAATAAATAATAAGAAATATCATTATTGTATGTATGTATGTATGTATGTATGTATGTATGTATGTATGTATGTATGTATGTATGTATGCATGCATGCATGCATGCATGCATGCATGCATGCATGCATGTATGTATATATATATATATATATATATATATATATATATATATATATATATATATATATATATATATATATATATATATATATGATAATAAGATAAATAAATAAAAAAATGCATTTTTGTGTTTTTCTTTAAAGCAAAATATTATTTTATATTAGCAATATTATTTTGTTTTCGATATAAAAAAAGACCCAAGTGGCACATAATTTAGTTTTTTAATTATAATCATAGTTTTTCTATAATTGCACTTGTACCTGTATCCTGCACTTGCTGCTATTGCACTCCTGGGTAGAACTAAACTGCATTTTGTTGTCTTGTACCTGTACATCTAACTTAATCTAAAATCAAATTTATTATATCTGAAAACAAAACAATGTTTTTTTATTGTCTAGAAGATCCCTCTTGATTGATATTTTAGATATTTGGTCTAAAACATGACAAAAACTCCAAGTAAGAAAAGTGTTTTATTTTTCACAATGTAATCCTGAACTGACATCTCTTTAAATCCGAGTTAATACCACAATAGAATAAAAGTTATAATTAGGATATTTTCCCAGTAATGATCTTTTAGTTGCTCAAGATAATGGCTAGAAACACTTCTCCTCTCTGAAAGAAACAAAATAACACTTTGAAGATGCTAAATTGCGATACATGGAATAATAATTTGCTCGTGGTTTCCTTAAAGCCACCCAACTGATAAATATTCAATTACTGAACGCTATTAGAATTTAACAGGAGATTCAGTGGGTGTTTCTGCAATCTATACAGCTCACTTTGCATTTGAAGCGAGCGGCTGCTTTAGGGGAGATTATTGTAGAAGCGCTCAGATATTTATTAATGGAAAAGAGAAAGCGGGAATATAAAAAATTAAACAATTCAACCGCGAACTGCTGCTTTTAAGTCTGTTTAAAAAAGTCCTCAAGAAGTTGTGTGTTTAAGGCTGATAAATCTGTGGTTTATCTCTAACAGGCCTCAGTACGCCCTCCTGGATGAGTGCACGAGCGCTGTGAGTATTGATGTGGAGGGCAAAATCTTTGAAGCCGCAAAGGATGCCGGGATTTCGCTCCTCTCCATTACTCACCGTCCTTCTCTCTGGTGGGTTTTGAATCGTATGAAAATGAACAGCAGTTCGTTTATTACCAGAAAATAGCCATGTATTCCTGTTCCTGAATCCTAAACATAAGATTAAAGGGCTGGTATGATGGAAAACAGGATTTTCTGGCTGGTTTTGAAGTAGAGGGTTTGATGTGCTATCTGAGTAGACATGCTTTAATATTCACAACACAAAAGTGCTGTCTTGGACCACCCAGACTAGTTCTCCAGCAGAGCTGTGATAATGGGTTGTTAAAGGTGCTGAATAGCATAGCATAAAATCATAAATAGGTGAAAACACCTTGGCTCTAGGCACAAAAAAAGAGTCAGGGGAATAGACTTTGCTTTATAATCTGTCTGAAAACCAGCCACTTTCTACTTTTGAATCATGGGATTTAGAGAACGAGTGCAAGGGTGTAAGCAACTCTTTAAGCAATTCTGAACATACAGTTGAAGTCAGAATTATTATCCCTACTGTGCATTTCTTTCTAAATATTTCCCAAATTATGTTTATCAGAGCAAGGAATATTTCACAGTATTTCCTATAATATTTTTTCTTCTAGAGAAAGTCTTATTTGTTTTATTTCGGCTACAATAAAATCAGTTTTTAATTTATTTTAAAAGCATTTTAAGTTTGATATTATTAGCCCCCCTAAGATTTTTTTTTTGATAGTCCACAGAACAAACCATCAATATACAAAGATTTGCCTAATTAGCCTAATTAACCCTTTAAATTGCATCTTAAGCTGAAAACTAATATCTTGAAAAATATCTAGTAAAATATTATTTACGGTCATCATGGCAAAGATAAAATAAATCAGTTATTAGAGATGAGTTATTAAATCTATTATGTTTAGAAATTTGTTGAAAAAAATCTGCTCTCAGTTAAACAGAATTTGTGGAAAAATATACAGGAGGGCTGATAATTCCGACTTCAACTGTATATAAGATCGCTTCCCACTCAAGAAAAGGATTCCTCTGTTCAGCAAGGATCCATTGGTTACATTAGTTAATTTAACTAAAGTCAGTGTAACGACAAGATTAAAAGCATTTCTTAATTTTAGGGGATGTTAATGTCTTTGTTAATAGCGAATTAAATATTAAAAACTAATAAAATTCACTTGTATTTTTTAAATTGTTTATATTATTATTTATAGCTATATTTTGGCTATTTCTCGCTTTCTTGATTTGAATACATAAATAACATTTGCTAGTGAGAGATTTTTCTGTTATTTTTTGTAATTAATCATCCCTTTGCAATGTAATTTTTTAAAAAACATTTGTTTAATTTTAACAAGTATAAACAATAAAGTAATATTAAAGCATTTTTTGGTTATTAGCATTGTTAAAATAATCTTTTTTGTAGCTTACTTTAGGTCATAATAACTTATATCCTGATAAAATCTTCAGCAATTAATAGTAATGAAAGTTTGATACCTATATCAATTTAATGAAATACATTTTAATACCAAGTGTAAACAGAGCTTTTGTTCAGAATAAATAAATAAATAAATGAATGAATTTAATATATTAATAAATTAAATTAAATATATTTGCAAAAATAAATGTAAAAATAATAAAGTAAAAAACATAATAATAAATGTAAAAATATGTCTTGTATTGTATAAATAAATTATAAAATAATTATATGTATATATATATATATATATATATATATATATATATATATATATATATATATATATATATATATATATATATATATATAATTAAATAATAAGAAAATAAATACAACACATACATGTAAAATGTCTTTCTCTTTTTTTCTCCATAATACTGGAAAACTTTCCAAGAATTGTACAAAAAATTTATAATAATACAATATTATATACTAAAATAATTGTAAAAAATAATTAATAACAATAAATAATAATAAATGTAAATTATGCCTCTCTCTTATCTCTATAGTACTGGAAGCTTTCTAAGAATTGTGTAAATAATAAAATAAAACTACATAATGATTAATGTAAAAAAATATCTTGTATTGTATAAATAAATTCTAAAATAAATTACATACATATATATATATATATACACACACACACACACACACACACATACATACAGTTGAAGTCAGAATTAATAAATTAATAATTATATTTTTCCCCTTATTTTTGTTTAACGGAGAGAAGACACATTTCTAAATGTAATAGTTTTAATAAGTCATTTCTAATAACTGATTTATTTTATTATATCTTTGCCATGATGACAGTAAATAATATTTGACTAGATATTTTTAAGACACTTCTATACAGTTTAAAGTGACATTTAAAGGCTTAACTAGGTTAATTAGGTTAACTAGGCAGGCTAGAGTAATTTGGCAAGTAATTGTATAACGATGGTTTGGTTTGTAGAATATCGCAAAAAACAATTAGCTTAAAAGTGTTAATAATTTTGACCTTAAAATGGCTTTTAAAAAATTAAAAACTGCTTTTATTCTAAAAAAAAAACAAAACAAATAAGACTTTTTCCAGAAGAAAAAATAACATTATCAGACATACTGTGAATATTTCCTTCCTCTGTTAAACATCATTTGGGAAATATTAAAAAAAGAAAAAAAATTCAAAGGGGGGCTAATAATTTTGACCTCAACTGTATAAATAAGTAAAAAATAAATAAATACAATGATTTTATTATAATATAAATAATAATACATGTAAAATATGTCTCTCTATTATCTTCATAGTACTGGAATTGTAAAATAAATGTAAACACATGATAATAAATGTAAAGATATGTCTTATCTCTATAGTACTTTAAAACATTCCAAGAATTCATGACAACAAGCCCACATGTGTGCAGTCATTCATTTAAAGCTGAACTTCTTCTGCTCAGGAAGTACCACTCGCACCTGCTGCAGTTCGACGGCGAGGGCGGTTGGCGCTTCGAGAAGCTGGACGCCTCCACACGTATCTCCCTGCAGGACGAGAAGATCCGACTGGAGACCCAGCTCTCAGGAATCCCCAAGATGCAGCAGCGGCTGACAGAGCTGTGCCGGATTCTGGGGGAGGACAGCAGCCTGCCGACCCCAGGGGACGAGGAGGAGGACGAGGAGGAGGACGAGAAGCAGACGGAGAGAGATGTACAGTCTGCTGGGAAAGAGAAAGACCTTATGGAGTGATTTGCAGGCAGATGACAGATGTGTGTTGCAGGCCAGGTGTGAGAGTTTGTGTGTGTGCATATATCTGCCTACATACAGTTGAAGTCAAAATTATTAGATTTTTATGTATGTTTCCCCAAGTGATGTTTAGCAGAGCAAGGAATTTTTCACTGTATTTTCGATAATTTTTTTGTTTTATTTCGGCTAGAATAAAAGCAGATTTTATTAACATTTTAAGGTCAATATTTTTAGCCCACTTAAGCAAAATTCTCTTCTTATTGTTTACAGAACAAACCACTGTAATACAATACATGGTTTCCGCTACATTCATTCTTCCATGACAGGGCGCCACACGAAAATGTATTCCCACCAAGGCTACATTACATCTTCTCATTCAAAACATTCGTTCGTTCCTGTTTTATATAGCAAGTTATAATCACACCAAAATGTTTTAAAATGTAAGTAAATTAAAATAGAGCAAATTTTTTGTAATCGTAGTAGTACTGTGCGTTATTCATGCAACCTTTAAGTAGAGGTGATAAATTAATTGTTTCTTTAGTGCACCGCGATGCAGATGCAGACAATTCGATATTGGTTCAATAACAGATCCTAACCGATTATTACGTACTGACGTTATATATCTTCAATGTTCGATGTCGAGGAATACTATGGCAAAGGAGGCGAGGGCGAGTAAATAAAACGCTCCTAATACTAAAAAGCAGATAATTGTGCACATTTCACTGCTTGCGAGTTTACTGGACAGTCTTTCATTGACACTAAAGAAAGTATACAGCATCAGCCGCAATTTCACTACTTGGGAGAAATGCTGTAAAACTCTCCCTCACTTTGGGCATCTGACCTGCTTGGGTGTTCGTGGTTCGTAACTTTTCCTCTCCTCTTGGCTGTTCAAGCGATATTTATGGATCCAGACACAAGCGTGCCTAAGGTGCAATTTTTTCCACTGTGTCTTATGGATTACCTGTGATAACCATGCATTATGCGCATATAAACTGTAACCCGGCTGACAAAATCGTATTACAAATAATATATTAATATATTTACAAATTTGAATACAATTTTTTTCTTTTGTTGTGGAGAAATAATCTTAATTATGTATGGAAAGCTTCGTCAATGCACCGAGATATCGAATTAAACCGAATCGATGGCATAATAATCGTAACCGAACCGTACCATGAGACCAGTGTAGGTTCACACCCCTACCTTTAAGGTTACATACTGACTGACTGACTGACTGACAGGATTGTGCCATGCCTGAGGCCAGCAAACATGACATAGCTTTCAGTTATGATGAACACAGTTTCCATAATAATAATTTATTTATTATTAATAATAATAATTTCTTACATTTATACTGTACAGCGCTTTTCTAGACACTCAAAGCACTTTAAACAATGGGGGGAATCTCCACATCCACCACCAGTGTGCAGCATCCATCTGGATGACGCGATGGCAGCCATATTGCGCCAGACCACACACCACACACCAGCTGATTGGTGGAGAGGAGACAGTGATGAAGCCGATTATGATATGGGGATGGTTAGGAAGCCATGATGGACAGAGGCAAATTTGGCCAGGATGCCGGGCCCTACTCTTTTTCGTTGGACATCCTGGGATTTTTATCGACCATCTCATCCGAAAGACTTTATTAATAAAGGTCTGTGGTTCTGCATTCAATGACTTTATCTGGAGTTTATAGCCGTTTCACTTTACTTCATCAATGCCGTTCTGTAGGTCTATTAGAGACATTCATAAATATTCCTAGCAAATCTAATAAATGTTGGAGACATAATCACTACATAAACGCACAAAATGCGCTTGTTTTTTCGATTGTTTTAGAACTTCCAAATCAGTTGCCTAGGAGAGAAATGACTAGGAATAATAAAACACGAAAAACGGTCAAACTACTTGGTCTACAAACAAGTGTTTGTATGACTATACAGACAAAATAGAATAATATATTTTAAAAATATCAGTTTGCAACATCAAGCAGTGTAAAGAGCTGTTTTTAACATCTAATGCTGCGTTCACACCAGATGCGGAGGAAGTGTCAAGCGCGAGTGATTTACATGTTAAGTCAATGCAAATGCGCAAATAGATATCCTGCGCAATAAGGTGGCGCAAATGACGCGATTCGCGTGAATGAAGCAGCGCGTGATGAGCGTTTTGCGCAATTGATGTGCATATTGCATGTTGAGCGCAAATTGCTCAAGTTCAAAAATCTGAACTTTAATGGATATTTGCGCCGTGTTACCCAATCATGAGCTTGCTCTTTAGGGAGCCTGATTATGACATAGTGCCTGTTATTGGTGCCCTGGGGGAAAATCCTCCTGCTCGCACCGACAATAGTTCGACAGGGCTCAGCTCCTTTGGAAGGATCTAGTGGACTCAGACACAGCTACAAACGAATCAACACTGTTTTTCAGCCTTCATAAAGCACATAAACATGGCTATTCTCTCAATAAAATCTATGTTAGCCATTTAGCAATGAAGCTAGAGTCTCTGGACAGATAGAAGCCCTGCCCGAATTTATTTATGCGCAAATAGCACTGATGTGAACTCAACATAAAAATGAATGAAAGTCAATGAGACTGGAAGTCTCGAGCTAAAAAGATTGAAATGGCTGTGCCGGCTCGTATGCAAAGAATATGGTGAATTTGAGAGCGCACAAGAAAATCTGTGCTTGAGCAGGGTATATTTGCGTGCGTGAATGAAGTTTTGTTGCCAAACAGAGGGAATTGGCTCACAAGCAAAGACATTTGCATGCTCGTATTACATGAATGCGATCTCAACTTGTGATATTGCGCTCACGATGTTTGAAAAATAACGCCATAGGTAGTTGGAAGATCCGTGAAAAAAGCCTGCCACCACAGCTGGAAATGATCCTAGAGGAAACACTGCAATAACTTATTAATTGCCCTAACTTGACTAATTAACCTACAGTAGTTAAGCCTTTAAATGTCGCTTTAAGCTGAATACTAGTAGCTTAAAAAATATCTAGTAAAATAATATTTACTGTCATCATGGCAAAGATAAAAGAAATCAGTTATTAGAAATGTTAGAAATATTAGAAACTATTATGTTTTCAAATGTGTTTGGGGTAAAACATTTACAGGGGGACTAATAACTCTGACTTCAACTGTATGTTTTAGATGCATGCATCAGGTTAATAATGTGTCTGGTGTTGGGAATCAGAGATTTAATCAGAAGCTGCTCATTTTTGTTTTGGTTAGTTTAAGGATGTTTGGTTCCGTTAACAGTTCTAGAACATTTGCATTCCATCAGTGATTCCGAAGAAACACGTTTATAGCATATGCAAAACACACATAAGAGAGACACCTTAAAGTGATAGTTCACTCAAAAAGGAAAACTATGTCATCATTTATTTACTCACTCTTTACTTGTACCAAACCTTTACAAGTTTCTTTCTTCTTACTCAAAAGAAGATCATTTGAAGTAAGCTGAAAACCTGTAACCATTGACTTCCATAGTATTTGTTTTGAAATACTATGAAAGTCAGGGGTTACAGCTTTTCAGATTTCTTCAAAATATCTTCTTTTGTGTTCAACAGAAAGAAAAAAAACGTATAAAAGTTAAATAATAATAATAATAAATAAAGGTAATAATAAATAAATAATAAATAAAGGTAAATAATAAATATTACTTACTTTATTTATTATAAAGAGATGTTGTTTTATTTACATTTATTTTGGCAAGATAAATAAAGAAACAGAATGCAGAATTCCAATTCAAATGATTTAGAATGCAAAAAATATTTGTTAAGTTTAATTATAAGTTGTCAAAAAATCTATCTAACCTAGAGTTTCAAAAGTTTAAGAAACTTGTAGACTACTATAATTTAATTTAATCAATTAGAAAGAGACTTTTTTTAAACATTATTTGAGCAAGATAAAAAAACTAAACAAATAAAGCACCATATACATGGCAATTTGAACCTGCTCTTTCATCCAATAATTGTTATTGAATACAGTCTATATACTTCAGACAGATATTGACTTTTGCCACATTTAATTGAATGCCGACAATAAACAAATGTACTTTTACTCTGTTAATTAACAGTTATTTTTATTTTGTGATTCCTGTGAAGTCATTTCCGTTGATTTATGGTTGTGAATTGCATGACGGGAGCTTGATCTCTCCTCTGTCAACTTTTGAAGTTGAAAATTCAACTCTACAGTTTAACACGGTGACTTTTATTAGCTACATTTCCATCCACCTATTTTTATTTGCATTTCAAATATGCACAATAAAAATTGGTTGATGGAAATGGCAAGATGCACAACAACTTTGAAATTGTGCATAAAAACATATGAGCATAACTGAGTAGGATAAACTTTTTATTCGATAAGAAAAGATGCGCATAAACTGCGATGGAAACACTTTTACCACCCAAATTCCAGTATGCGCATTAAAAAAAAGGTCATGTGGTTTTGTTACAGGAGATCGTGTGATGATAAAAATGTTTTACAGCTGAACACACTGTAAAACATCTGAAATGTTGTTTTGGTCATTCTAAAACACCTTAACCGTTTCAGTATCCGTTTCAGTACATCTTAATTGTTTCTGTAGGGTGTCATAATATTATTAATGACCTTCAGTATCAAGAGCGTCTATGCTCTGCGTATTACAACTTTACACGCCACCAGGCATTCTGTGTGTGTCGGCATCGTCTTCTAAGGTGCAAGCCATTTATTAAATAAGGAAAAGATTGACACAGCTTCATCTACTGCTGTAAATTGCATTTTTACTGTTGATATTTGGTGCCAGTTTATTAGGAAGTGGCGATTTTGTTCTCTTTGACTTTTTGGATGGAAACGCTGCTTTATTCGCACGTCTTTTATGCGATAATCCAGTTTTGTGCATAAATTTAATTCGCCTTTTTGGATGGAAACATGGCTATTGACATGCTAGTAGTTTGAAATAATATAATGAATAAGAAATAAAATATAGAGCAATAAGTCTGTGAAATAACAGAAAATATACTAGCAGTTTATTGCAATATTTTATGTACAGTTTTTGTAGCGTAATATACAACACCAACCCAAACAACATATTAAATTAAACTAATAAAAATATTAACAAAAGTCACTTTTTAAAACTTTTCAAGGTTAATAGTTGTTGGAAGAAAGATCAAGATCACATAATGCAATTCAAAAGGAGAAATACACAGGGAAAAATGAAAACACGAATCACAAAATATGCAAAACTGCTAATTAAGGGATATTTTTTACGGTGCAGTGCTGATATGGCAACTACTAAAAATACTGTACATTTGGTTATGGAAATATTTAACCAAATGTGTTAAAAATGTGAGCCTAAATCTTGATTTATAGTGTGACAGCAGGCATTTACAGTGCTCAGCATAAATGAGTACACCTCATTTTAAAAATAAATATTTGTATCCATTTCTCAGTGACTATATAGGCAATGTTGGTGCATTTAAACAAAACAGATTTATTAAACAAATATATTTATTAAAATAATATTTTAGTCACCAAACATATTAAGAAATTGAAAGATAACACAATTACATTCATTCAAAATATTGCAAAAAATTCCCTTTTTTTTTGCTTCTCTTCATTTATCCACTTTTTAAGTTTATATTTAATATTTTTCTCTAACACATAAATTTGAGTATACTAGTTTTTGGACCGTTATTATAAGTTATTTTGTTAGATAAGCTCCAGATTTGTCTTCAGTACTGACTAATCTAATGTATACGCACAAATATAATATTGTATAGCTTTCTAATAAAAATGTGAATTTAAAAGAGAGATTTGTGAGGGGTGTACTCATATATGCTGAGCACTGTATAGGACCTTGAATTCAGCAGTATTGTTTTTCAATAATTCTCCACTCTTAGAACTGTTACGGAATCAAAACCGGGATCCGTTTCCCATCTCTAGTTTGTAGACAGAAAATGCACACTTCAAAGCTTTTGTTAACTGTACACAGACAATGCGGAGAGAGTGTGTGCGTGTGTTTTGAAGGGGGGTGTTTGGCACACATCTGCCAGCTCCACCAGGTGCGGTCGATGATGAAAGCACCTATGAAAGCTGTTGGTGGAGCTCGTTATCGCTGTTCTCTGAA